CGCCAATGATTGGTTTCTGCGTTACGTTTGGCCTAATGGCGTTGGCGTTTGGTCCAATGCTCGTCTTGGTCAACCAAACACCAGACCGTATCCCTGCTGATGTTATAGCTGAGGAGATGGAACAGGAGGAAAAGAAGGTCAGCGACTATAAAGTTGAGACCAAGGCTTGAGTGTTCACAGAGAAAGTAAAATCCTGGCGCTCGGAAAAAAAGATTTCAGATTATTCGAAGTTCAATAAGATGAATTGTATTTACTACCTGTCTTGCCACGCCCTGTGAATAAAAAAACAATAACAAAGTATATCTTTTTGCTTTTTGAACAAGATAACTTTGCACTGAATTTACTGAAGGTAGAAAGCACAGAACAACGAATACCAAACGCAATTACGCCCGTTGGCAATCACTATTACCCCACGTGGTACGGTAAGTGGACCCTGCATGTGCCCCGCCGAGGGGTAACAAGGGTAGCTAGCTGTAGGTGAACAAGAAACATTGGACACTCCTACGTAACGAAGGCGTCCATCTCATCTTCAATCTCAATCCCCCAATTCCTCCTTCTTTTCCCTCTGAACCCTCTCCAACACAGTTCGACAAAATGGCCGACCTCAACCTCAACGAAATCCACGATTTCATGATCTCCATCGCCAAAGAAGCCGGCGAACGCATCGTCGCCGCCAAACCAACAACCTCCGAGTCTGGCTCAAAGAAGAATTGTACTAGGCCCATTCTTTCTCTCTCTCTCTTACTCTCTCTCCAGAACCCACCCCCAGAAATCCTCCCATCTCCATCCCCCCAACCTTCCCCCCCATATTCCAAACCACACACCTATAACTAACTCAACCGCCAGCCGTCGACCTCGTAACCGAAACCGACCGTGCAGTCGAATCCCTCATCTCATCCTCCCTCCGCGCCGCCTACCCGACCTTCTCCTTCATGGGCGAAGAAACATACAAGCCCGGCGACGTGCTCACGGCCGCCCCGACCTTCATCTGCGACCCCATCGACGGCACCACCAACTTTGTGCACCGCTACCCGTACGTGTGCATCTCGCTGGGGCTCGCCGTGGACCGCGAGCCCGTCGTCGGCGTCGTGTATAATCCGTTTACGCAGACGCTGTATTCGGGGATAAAGGGCCAGGGCGCGTATTTGAATCGGTCGACCAGGTTGCCGCTGGGGGGAGAGCCGCAGAGGCTCGAGGGCCTGGATAGCTGTCTTGTGGCGGTGGAGTGGGGGAGTGATCGCAGTGGCAATGATTTTAGGGTCAAGAGTGAGACGTTTAAGCGGTTGGCGGCGACCAAGGAGGCGGGCGGTGGGATGGTGCATGGGCTTCGGTCGTTTGGGTCTGCGGCGTTGAATCTGTGTGGTGTGGCGAGTGGCGGCCTCGATGTGTACTGGGAGGCTGGGTGTTGGGCGTGGGATGTTTGTGCTGGATGGGTTATCTTGAAAGAGGCTGGGGGTATTATGGTGGATGCTAATCCGGGGAATTGGGAACCCAAGGTTGAGGGCCAGAGATACTTGGCGGTTAGAGGCGGGGAGGGGCAGAGGGAGATTGTGGAGCAGTTTTGGAGTTTGGTTGATGGGGCGTTTGAGGTTGGGTCGTAGGGTGGTGCTGTTGGTATGATATATAATAGATATAGATTCGGGTCCATGTAGGAAAAAATACACAAACATCACACTGCAGATGAATGCAAAAACAACACAACAATATAGAGGCGGCCTGGGATTTCTCATTATTGCCACCGCTAAGACTATTCCTTCCGCAGTCTGGATCCTATTCAAGCGGTCTCAATCAACTTGCGCACACCACATCGGACAAAAGACCTTCTCTCCACCAGGTGGGAAAGGAAAAGCCCAAAGTCCTCGAGCGCGATGCAACGCAAATCAACCATCGCAGATATACAAATATAAATTAAAACCAAGCATTTCCGAAGACATTTGAAAGAAAAGATTTCCCCCCGCGGGTGTAAATAAACGACAATGGACAACGATTCCATCCATCCCCCTTCTCGTAAAACAAAGGAAACACAGTTTCGTCGGTTGTACTCCTCTCTATGGTTAAGAGGGGAAAAAAAAAGGGAGAGCGAACAAAACAAGATATTGGCCATGATGTCGTTCAAAAAAAACAGGTGGGAGGGAAACAGAATCTTGAAGGGGGCGCTTTCTTTTTTCTGAGTCTTCAGGGAGATGAGATGGGAGAGAGCAAAAGTACCACTGCTAAGGACGTTGAGAAAGTAGCAGAACGAGGTGAAAAGGAGGAGAGAGATGCAACAACAACTAGTGCGCCGATTGGAAAAGCAGGGAAAAGAGAAAAAAGGGAATCAACCCCTTGTTATTACTCCGGTTCCATGTTTTTTTTGGTTGGTTTTCACGGTTTTTGGATCGCTTGTCGGCAATTTGAGGATTGACGCGGAGATCAAGGCTTGGGCTCAACTTGGGTGTGATACTCCGGGTTGTTTATGCAAGGGTGGTTGTGTGGTATTTTGTCGGGGCGTTTTGTATACAATGACGAGTGATAGGACTAGTGTGCAACCGGGGTCTTTAGATGGTCCTGGGAGTGCCACGAGCGGAGGCGCTGGCAAAGTGTCAGTGGCAAAGGTTTTTACATCACGGCAAGTACATGTCAAATGAAGAAGACGTTCAAGACAAAGAGGAAAAGCGCAAGGCATACCTCGCATCCACAAGATCATCGACGTGATTGCACATGGCCACGAACAAGTCAAAGAACAGCTTTCCTCCCATCTCCATCTCCATCTGCATGGTTCCGCTACGCTTGAAGGTTTTCCGACTGCGGATAATCAGAGCGAGGTAATGAGCGCGCAGGCGCGAGTCGCTGTCCGGCGTGTTCTCGTAGGCATAGCGCGCACTACGCAGGATTGTTCCGACCTCGATCCCGCTCTGCAGGCCCTGCTTGCGCAGGGAGAGCTTCTTGAGCTCCTCAAGGCCGTAACGATCGGCAGCGCAGTAGATGGCAGTGTCACGGAGAAGAACGTCTCCCACGCCGGTGTGGAAAAAAGTTGGCTCGACTGCGACAGCGCGGTCGCCGGTTTTGTTGGGGTCGGGTGATGCAATTGCACCTTCGAGCATCCAGGTCTGGCGCCGCTTGTCGTGGACAAGGCGGGGGTAGTAGTCTCCCTTATACAGATACTCGAGGATGCAACTGAAAATTTCAGGCTCTTCCGTGGGCAGATCGATGCGGCGGTTAGTTGACTCGAAGAACTGACTCCGCAGCAGTTCAGCAAAGTACGGAGAATGGCACAGTACGTCTTCGTGGGCCGCGAACAGTCGCTGGTCGGAACCAACGATGACTGTCACAATGGCAGAGGTCAACTGCGGTGATCCTCCGTCCATCAAAGGACTGTCCTTGCGTGCATCCAGCTTCTCGGCCATGGCCTTTTGCTTGGAGGCATCGCGAAACGATCTCTTCGGCTGCTTGGTGATCTTGCCTGAACGGTCCTTGTCCTTTGAACTAGCCAAAGAACGCTTACCGAACATGATGAAGCGAGCGACTGAAACGAAAGGGGGGGGGGTGTTTCTCGTAAAGAGTGGACAGGTTAGTGTGACGCAACGTTCATGTGAAGTTGGGGAGCTCTGGAAACTCTCGAACTCGCAAACCTTTCGGAGGAGAAAAGTCAGTGAGGATTCGAAGAGCTTAAGCGTGTTTATCCACACTGGTGGTGAAGACAAAGCACACTTTGGTTGTCGAACTCGCTTGTCGTGAGGCGTAAGGGCCGAGATGGCGGGGAGGCCGACGATTAAATACTGCCGTCGCCAAGTGGCATCCCTGCAGCGTTGACGGCTAGCGTTGGGCTGTGTAGCATGCAGATGGGTGTTTTTACTCGTCGATAGCGACGGCGGGCGGCACGACTGGATGCAGGTGGGAACCAGGCAGCAAGGCAAGACTGTGTGCAGGCTTTTGATTCGGTGCTTTGTTCGGGTATATCCCAATGTGGCTTATGCGTGGTGTTTGTTTGGTCCATGTACATAGCAGATAGACAGGCATGCGAAGGCAAGGCGAGAGCCGTAAGCGAAACACCGACGATACGAGGGCCACGTGACGGGTTTCGCCAAGGCCAGGATCGCACCGGGAGGAAGACATGATCGGCTGGGTGGGGGCCGATCTTGACAGACACGAGGCCGTGTTGGGCAATGGCTGTGAAGGATGCGCATCGCGTTCATGTCGCGGTGTAACGTGACATGCATGGTACGGATCCAGCCGTTAGTTGTAGTAAGCAGTTGGTTGCAGTTGGGCGCTTCGCCTGCTGGGCCCTTTGTGACTCATGTGACGACGAGTAAGTTTGTTAGGCGCAGCAGAGTGCGTGCAAGTCGGCAACGGAGACAAGGCACTTGGAAACGCGGGGGCATTGAGTTGCGCTTGTGCACAGCCGTGAGTCATTACGCCATCGTGGAACATGTTGGGTGCCAGTCTTGTATGAGGTGGTGAGCATAACCGTCCATTTGCATTGCAAACGCCCGCTCTGCAATGCCATGCCGAGCTACTCTGCATCGCCACGGGCCACTCTTATGCTGCCCTCACGACGGGCGCTTCGCTGTTGCCCGCTAACCGCTAGCCTGTTCCACTTGCATCTGGCGCGCCCAAGAAGTGCCTTTAGCTGCAAAGACGCATGTCTGCAAGTAAACAACACAGTCGCGAGCAGGCCGGGGTTGCGCCTCGAGGGCTCGCTTGCTTGTTCCATTGTGTTGGATGAGGCGGCGTAGTAGTACCGATACAGCCTTGCTCCGAGTGTTTCCAATGACGTCGTTGGTTGGCAGTGCCACAGTGCCCATGGCAGAGACAAGCTGCTCGCCGCTGTAGAGCAGAGCAAGAGTCCATCTAGGGACAATCGCGCAGGCTGAAAAAAACGACGAGCAAATGCTAGCGAGCACCTGCAGCCGCCACCCAGTGAAGGCTGATGACCCTTCTGCCGGCCCGCATGCGGAGCTTGGACTAAGAATCCCAACCCAAGCACCTCGTCATTCATAGCCAACCTTCCCCACATCCATCTTTCTCTCTTCCACCACACTCAACACGCACGCATCCCTGTGTCACTGCACACCGCTTGCCCGGTACAAACCATCCCACCAAGCCTGTGCTCGTTGGTTGATTCATTCATTTTCGACTCGGCCACTTGTCTTGCCTTGTGCCATAGAAACACTCGTTGCTGCTCCGGAATACAAAGCCGGCAAGACCAGGCGTCGCAGCTTGCCATCGAACCCTAGTGCACGACAGACGGCCGACCAACGCACTGCCACCATGAGCACCGGAGCCAAGAAGCGCATCCTAAAGGCAAGCCTGTGATGGCCCTGTGTAGTGCCGCACAAGCCAGACGGCTAACAGCTGGGCAGGAGTACGGCGAATGCATGGCTGACACCCCGCCGGGCATGAAGATCAATTTTGACGAACAGAACATGACCAAATGGGAAGTGCTGATGGATGGCCCCGAGCAGTCTGCATATGCTGTATGTGTTTTTGCTGACAAGCAGCCTCCGTGCATACGGGAGCACCGCCCGCTGACGACTGAGTGACTGACTATGTCTCGGTAGGGCGGCCACTTCAAGCTGGAGATTACATTCCCAACCGAGTACCCGTTCAAGCCGCCCGTGGTCAGCTTCCGGACCAAGATCTACCATCCCAACGTCAGTAACGACGACAAGGGCTCCATGTGTTTGGGCCTGCTACGCGCGGACGAGTGGAAGCCGCCAAACAAGGTGGTTTCTGTTCTGCGCCTGATCCAGACGCTGCTCATCGAGCCCAACCCAGACGATGCGATTGAGCCGTCGATTGCTAACGAGTACCGGGAGAACCGTCAGGAGTTTGACAAGAACGCAAAGGACTGGGTCAAGCGCTATGCCAAATGAGGGCCGCGGCCACGTGGGCAGACGCATGAGCAGGGAGAAGGGTGATTAGGAGGCAGGTTTGGAGAGGACGGCGGTCAGCAGCTACACATTGATTGCATGGTTGGCGTTTGGCGAAATTTGCATGCGGATGGGTCGCTGGGTGGGCGGTGGGCAAAGAAGCATGGCGTGTACATGCAGATCGCCATGTCTCCAGCGCATCGACGTGCAAGCAGGACGGCTGGGCAGGGTAGCGTGTGTACCAAAGCAAAGTACTAGGGCAAATGAAATGAAGACAACGGCGGCATGTCGTCATGAGCAAAATGGCAAATCTCGCGTGGTAGCAAGGCGATGGCAGACGAAGCGAGCCGCATGGGTGGTGAGAGGCCGGGGAGGCCCTGAAACGCGGCCTTCTAGAAGCGGGCGCGACAAGGCTGCTGCGGTTCGATGCTTGCCTATCTTGGCCGTGCTTGTGCCTGTGCGCGGTCCCAACTGTGATGTTTTGTGAATAATAGTCTGCTGTCTTGGTCTGCTATTGGCGAGGCGAAGCAACCGCCGTGTGCTGTCTGTGTTGTGATTGATTGCTGAATGGACCCAAGGACTAAGTACTACTGCCATGTCCACCCTCCCCGTGCAGGGCAAAGCAGGGCAACGCAGGGCAGCCGGGGCACCCAAGGCCCAAGGACATGCATGGCCCTCTGCCAGACGCAGCGCTAGGAACGAGTGCGCGCGCGGCGGCTGCCCATTTATTTACACAGTCGAGCCGCTGCCATGGCTGTGCGAGAGAGCAGCGCAGTGGCATGGGTGGGTGGATGGACGGATGGATGGCGGTGCAGGTCGAGTGGCTCTGCCCAAAAAGAGGCGCACAAGCAGGCTGCCGCTGATTGGCCTGGCACGCGTGCCCCCTTCCCGTCCCCCTCTCGACCCTCACGACTCCCTCGGTCACATCACATCGTATCGTGCTATTGCCATGGGCGTGGACTAAGGCGTAGTGCAGCGGCCGTTCTCGTTGTCCTCGTCGTCTCGTCCGCAGAGCTTATGCAGGACTCGCCCATTTGGGCCGTCACAGCCCAGGCAATGAACGCTCTCTCCGACGAGTTCCGTGGTGGCCCTTGAAACGCTCGACCCGCGGCGCGGCCCCCCTTAGTCGGACTATAGGCATCGGGGATGAGGAGGCATGGCCGTCGCGTCTTGGCAGCCTCGAGAGAGTCAGTTGTCCAGCGTCCATCCAGGCCAAAGGAGTCTTTCCTGCTACACACTGGCCGCACTTCCGTCCTCACTACCGTCTGATTCCCCCGGTGCCTGTGCGCCACGACACGCTCCCTGCCCGGCTCCATTTCATCTGCCTACACTACACCCTATCTACCTGCCGCACCCACGCTGGGACCCACCTGGGCCTTTCACTCATCCACCTGCACCACAGCTCCCACTCCGGACGCTGCGACACCCGGCGAACCCACTGTCCAAGCGACTACCACCGCCGCATGACACACGCCCACACGACACCTTCACTCCTCAACAACGCCCTGCCCTACCTCGACTGCCCGCTCCCCCCAGAATGTCCTCCCGAATCTCCAGTCCCGAACTGTCCTGCACCCCGTCCGAATGAGCGCCCTTGCCGCCCTCCTCCTCATCCACCGCCACCACCCCATCTCCACCTCTGCTCCTCGCAATGGGTGACACCCTCCTGCGCGTCGCTCCTGGCGTCTCCCGCGCTGCCAGTGCTGGACGGGACGCCGACACGGCCATGCCACACCACCTGTCCCACGTCCTTCACCATCGAGCCTCGCCAACCGACTACACTCCTCCCGCTTCACCACAGCCCCAGGTACCATATGCGGCCACCAAGGGCTTTGGCGCCCTCCGCTCAAAGCACCCGACCCAGCTCCAGATGCACGCGGTAGCCGCCCAGCCCCACGACCGTCCTACCTACAGTCCAACGCCTGCCGACAGCCCGACCATTCCTTCGCCCAAATACTCTCTACGACAAAGAGCCCCTTCTCTCCTCCGTCACGCCGCCGTACCTTCTCCCCGCCATGCAAACCCACCTTCTTCTACCCCAATACCCATGTCCCCAACAGGCGCTTCGGTAATGTCACGTCAGGACAGCGCGCCTTGCTCGCCCGATCTTCGCACCATCTTCAATCCTCTGGCTAGCAATCCAGTCAACTCGAATGGCCCATCATGGAATTCATCAAGCGAAGATTTGCCAGGTCCCCCGGCCGCGACATTCAGAGCCCGAGGAATGACTGGCCCCCAATTGTCTTTTCAGCCCCCGCCTTCTCAGCCTTCGCTGAGGGCCGCAACCTCCATCCCAGATTATGCACAGCATCGTGCAAATGAGCGGGCAAACCTCTCGGGCACGTACAAGCCTAACAGAGGCGTGCCCAACTGGTCTCACAATGATTACTACCCTCCCCCAGCTCGACCATTCCGAAACGAGGAGCCACGAGCTAGCTTTAGATCTGGATTCACAAATGCTTCGTCTAGCCTAATGGAGACAAGCGGCACAGAGCGAAGTAGCATCATTACTGCTCGTAGCTCTATTGCTAGCGACTTGCACAGTGGCATGTATTCAAGAGACCAGTCAAGAGACCGCAAACGGGATCGAGATGATTCCCCAGAAACAACGCTTACTTCAGACATTGCCGAGGAAGAAGAACAGCTGGACGCTGTCAGTGACGTGCTCGATTCGTACTACTACGACGAAGAGGATGATGACCGCAGCCCAATTGTCGAGCCGCATGACGACCATTTTGGAAATCCTTCACCCAGTGGCCTCGACTCTGAACCACCTGAGTTGTCTCAAACACCGTCCCGCGACTTTGACTCTCTCGACTCGTTCCAATCCAACGAAAGTCTCAAGCGATGGGACGAACGGCCCTATCCACGCACAGAAGACTCAACAGAGAACCACCGCGGGCAGAAAAAGTTGCTAACTATCCGTACGACGTCTGAGTCAGGCTCTGATTTCGATGTACACAATACAAGCGCAGTAGAACCGAAAACGCTGCAAGTGGATCACATGCACAAGGGCCAAGTAAGCCCCTACCAGGCTCCGTATACACCACGGACCATCCAAGCAGTAGTGCAACTTCCCAAAAAGCGATTGTCGGTCACGATGAAGCGATCCAGCGCAGATATGCCTCGTCGGGTTTCAGTTACCCTACAGGCTTTATCCCTCAGAACCACTGAAACCTCGAATTTGGCAAGCGCCAAGAATACCAAAGGACATCGTCACTCAAAGAGCGCCCACACAAGCCGTTCTCAGATGGATAGCATTCGTCGTGAGATATCTGGACTTCCTCAATTGCCCACGAACAGATCTCGACTCTCACGGCAAGATTGGGCAAGCATTGAAGCCTACTCGAAGCGACACAGTAAAAGACCCAGTCGCTCGCGTACCTTCTCACATGACTCGAGTGCCGGGGCTAATGGCCCGCAATCTCCGCCGGTGCAACGATCACAACCTCTCCCGGAACTTGACGAAGATGAGGCAATCCCCCGTCGCGCTTCTACTAGTGTCTTCGATCGAAAGAGTGCACTGCTCGATCTGGGCAAGATGGCCCAATTAGCTCCGGCTAAAAGTAAACCAGAACCAGCCCAAGACTCTGACCTGTCTTCTGGGCTCCCAATTCCCGTAGTTATGCCCGGCCTGCGCAAAACTGCCATCCCTGTAGAAAGGGATCGTTATGGCTTCAAAAAGGCCTCTGAGAAGATCAGTGTCCAAGAGTACAACGCTTGGGCAGCAAGATACGAAGAGCACATTGCACGTCGGCGTGGTAAATGGATTGCTTTGATGCACAAGCAAGGACTGCCAACCGACGACCCGACAACATTCCCGGAAATGTGCGAGAAGGTCAAGAGATATGCACGCAAGGGTTATCCTCCTGAGTGGCGAGGCGCCATGTGGTGGTATTACTCTGGCGGTCAGCACATGATCACACAAAAAGAAAACGTTGGTCTCTACAAATCGCTTGTAGCCCGTTTACGACGAGATGAGCTCAACAAGGACGACAGAGATGCTATTGAACGCGACCTGGACAGAACTTTTCCCGACAACATTCATTTCCGACCTGAACCAGCGACTGATTTGTTAGACGGGGAGGACGACGACGAGCCTGCGCTGATTCAAGACCTTCGCGAGGTCTTGTCATGCTTCGCTCTGAACAACCCCAATATTGGATACTGCCAATCGCTCAACTTCATCGCTGGTCTTCTGTTGCTCTTCCTTAAGCAAGACAAGGAAAAGGCCTTCATTCTCTTGACCATCATTACGCAAAATCATCTCCCAGGCGCACACGCTCGTAGCCTTGCGAATACCGAGGTCAACGTTCTCATGATGCTGATCAAGGATTACCTACCCAAGGTCTGGGCCTCGATCAATGATACTGATCTCATCAATACCGGTGCTGGTTCTTACGCCCACCCCAACTCCAAGTTCCAACGCCAACCTACTGTTGCTCTTTCGTGCACATCTTGGTTCATGAGCATTTTCGTCGGCGTGCTTCCGATTGAAACCGTCCTTCGCGTGTGGGACGCTTTTCTATACGAGGGCCCACGCGCCCTGTACCGCTACGCCCTTGCTATTTTCAAGCTCGGCGAGCCAGAAATTAGAAAGTACCGTCCAGGCGATGGTGAAATCTTCATGGCCGTTCAAACACTGCCCAGGCGCTGTCTGGACCCGAACATCTTGCACGATCTGGCGTTCGTCAAGAAGGGTTTTGGCAATCTGTCACAACAAGTAATTGATCAGAAACGTATGTTCTGGCGTGAACAAAACATAATTGCCCATCAAAATTCTGTAAAGAACAGCAACGGCCGCCGCCATCACGGACACCAGGTGGAAGACGACGACGATGGCGACAGAGATAGCCTCCGGAAGGCCATGGGCATGAACGTCCTGCGCCGTCGCGCATCCCGCAAGTTCCGCAAAATGGGTATGAAGTGAAGCAAGTCTTCTCCCCTCCGTCCACTATCACAGTAAAAAAAAGTTCGCTCCGTGGCAAGACCATGCAAAGAATTCCCTTTCTTCAAAAACTTTTATGGCCTACACAACATTTTGCAGCGTTTTTTTTTTCCTTCCTCCATTGGTTCATGGACGTTGTCTTCATTCTCGGCGCAACATCAAAAAGGGGGGCATACACACACATACACATGGGGTAAAAAATGACTTTTCCCCTGAAGAAAGATGGCATTTGTTTTTTTTCTGTTTCTCTTGTACCATAATTACGATATACCCTTTGCGTGGGCGCTCTCTCTCTCTTCCTTTCCTTTACTTTTGTTCAATAATTTCTTCGGAAGGGGAGAGAATTGTAGACCATTTTTTTCCTTTCCTCTCTCTCCTTTTCTTTCTCTTCCCGTCATTTTGATTTTAAACTCAAACCGGCGTGCGTGCGTGTATGTGTGTGTGAGTCTTTTTTTCGAGTTCACAAAGCATAGCATTTTCCTCTTTTCTTTCTTTTTTTCTAGCATAGCGAACTGATGTTTTTTGTTTTGATTTTGAGAAATCTGTTTTTTTTAACTTTGGGAAGGAAGGGAGGGGGGGATTAAGGTTATGGTCGGGGATTTAACATGCATTTTCTCTTTGTTTTTTTTTGTTTTTACTTGGGTTAAATGATTAGGCGACGATGTTATGACACTCATCAAATATTTAAATCATACCCGTTTTTGTGTTACATATGCATACGTATATCAAAGGTGTCCTTTTTGTTTTGATGAGTGCTTTGACTTTGGTTGAGGAAAAAATAAAGAACATGGAAAGTTACAACAAATGTTGTATGAACCACATAATTCTCCCCCCCCCCCCCCCGGAAAAGAAAAAGAGAAAACGGACAAACATTGTCTATGCATGTTCTGTTGTCGTTCTCTCTGTCTCTCTCTCTCTCTCTCTTTTTTTATTTCTTTTTACAAATTCCCCCGGGGGCACACACACACAATACACAACCCGCTACTCGCTCGCTTCTCTTCAAAACGAAGCTACATCACTCTCAGAAGACTTTTTGCCAACCAACCGTCTCACAGCTTACTCTCGCTCTCCCTCTTCCGCACGCGCTCCGTCTCCGTGCCGGTATCCATCCTCTTCTCCTCCCCCTCACCCGTCAAACAGGGCGGATCGCGCAACATGGTCTTGTGTGCGCTCCCTTGGCGCTTCTGATTCGGCAACGTAGCTCTGACACGTCTCCTGTGAACTTCTTCTTCTTCGCCGTCGCCCTTTCCTTTTCTTTGGACTGCTACGTCTCCTGCGGTGCCCTCGGCAGCAGCCTCGGCGCGATTCCCTACAGCCCTCTTGTCGGGTCCGCCTGCTGCGGTGCCGAGGGTGCGGTAGGGGGTGCTTGGTGTGGGGGCTTCGGGGGGAGCTGAGGTTGCGGGAGAAGAAGGAGAAGAGGTGGTAGTGGGGGGTTGAGAGGGAGATGGCGGAGGGGCCGAGTCGTGGGGTGGAAGCGGGATAGAGCCGTTTTCGGGGGTTAGGCTTGTGGCGTCGCTGAGGCTTGGGGGCGGCTGGGAGGAGGAGGAGTGCGAGAGGGTGCCGCGGACGGAGCGGGAGTGGGATGTGTTGACCATCTTTTCTTTTGGGAGTTTACGCTGAGTTGTGTGTGTTTGTTCTGTGGGAAGTGGTTTTTAGGCTCGATTTTTTGAGGTTCCTAGAAGTTGTTTTTTGTTTCTTCTTGATCTTTGTGTTTTCCGGGGGAGTGATTTTTGTTTCCTTATTCTCTCCTCTTTGATCGGAGAATTGGTATAGAATTTATTTTGGTGGTATTGGAGAGTTTTCGGATGAGATATGGATTGAGAGAGTGGAAATCGACTGTTGGGACGTTGTTGCTGTTATGTGAGCAATGGAATCTAGGGAAAGATGAAGCCTATCACTTCAAGTTTACCTTGGCAGCTACATCATCTACCTCTACATCCATAGCCTAAAGAGGGATCTAGTTGTCTGTGGCATACATTTCTTTGACGTAGTGATGTGAAAAGGTGCGGTATTGCACTCTAGCGCATGGACATGACGTCTTGCATCCTCCGGGGAGCGTTGTAGTAGTAATCACACAGGAGTTCAAGAGCTGAATGTCGATCTCCCCTCCTCCTGCAGGACGAAAAACAATTCGAGCCTCAACGGGCGCTGCTACGCGAACATGGCTGGCGTTTCTTGTTGCGGCTGTTGTTTTTGCCCGATACCCGAAAGTCGAAGGGTGTTGCTGACAAGCTTTTTGTCATGTCGTTGCGGCTGGCTCTGTTGAGCTTTGACAATTTCCCCACGTTTCACCTCGGCATCTTTGCTACCCCATGGCTCTAGCTTCGCAATCATGTCTGGAAGCTACACAACAACTGCTCTGCATTCTGGTACGGTGAACTCGACCGAAATCACTAAAGGTATTCATGGTAGATGAAATCACGCCGAGGATATCCTCGGTTTCTTGGGCTGCTGCCTTGATCAATGACCCCAATTGGAAGCTTATCAGCACTTTCTCGCGCACACCGAAGCCCTCGGGAGAAGACGGTTTCTTCGGCAAAACGCTCAAAACAGATTCTACAATACGGACCTTTCTATCATTTCTACCAAATCAAGAGACGGAGGGCGAGATTCCATTTCTAGAGAGCAGGACAATTCTCGATCTAGGGCCAGATCTCGATGGATATCCTCAGACTGCGCATGGCGGGTTCCAGGCTGCGCTAATGGATGAGCTTTGCGGCGTGATCGTCATGCAGAATAGAGATGCAAAGGTGGAGAAGGCGCAAAAGCTTGGACAAGCTGTCAAGGTCCCGGACTATTACACGGCTTGTTTGTTACCTTGGCTATGTTAGTTCCGCACATGAGCTAAGCGTGAGCAGACTTAAACACGACCTACAAGAAGCCACTACCGACACCTGGACTGCTCTTCTGCACTGCAAAGATCGAGCGGGTAGAAGGGGGCGACCGGAAGATCTTCATCCGTACGACACTTGAAGACGGCAGCGGTACGGTATATACGATCGGTGAGGGGTTATTTGTAAAACTTGCGGTAAAGCTATGAATGCCTCGAGACAGGTTACGCGAGTTGAATCCCATGTGTATTGACATGACTTTGCTAGTGGTATCAACCTTGTTCTTGCGTTATTGAATTCCTAGCAGTGCTTGACACTTACCAGGTTGTCTCGTCTTGCTGCAACCACGAGGTCAACCAAAAGTTTGGGTCGCTCTGCAAGGAGGTGCGCCTCTCGCGTGGAAATCTGTCATACCATTTACGTATCGGCGGATTCTTTGTGCAACCCGGCAGAATGCAGCTCGCCTTTTGACAAATGTCTAGGCGTGAAGGGGCATTCGGCACTTGAACGAGCAATACCCGCCTGCGCGACATCTTGCAGCGAGCGGAAAACACCGTGCACGTCATGAACCCACGACGACGACGGGGAGGCAAAGCACAAGTCCGGTGTGGGCGCCGCCGCCTTCTCCAGGTTACCACAGAGCCGACCGACTTTGGCCGAGGTCACAAGTCTTTGAACCTGCCTGACCGCTCGAATCTTACATCAACTTCACTGTTGAACTTTGGTACAGTGTGGAGCCCTTCGGTACATTTCCGCCTGTGTTGGCTGTTGGCAGATCACCTGAAGTGGAGGGTTGGGTTGCAACACATGACTGGACGTGCTGGAGTCCACTTGAATTACCCTACCCTGACCCTGTGATCTGCTGTTCTTGCATGACCCTTAGCTTAGGCTCCGCTATGCAGGATCTGGGGTAGTCGGTGAGGCGCTTGCGACATATCTGGGGAAGTGGAAGAGGCGCTTGCAACGTTGCAATCTCCGGCGCACACGATTCTGGGCACTTCTCAACCTCAGAACAGTAGCTGGCCCGACCTCTTAATCTAAGTAAAATCCTCGGAGACGATTCGATAGGGAAGCTGGCCGGAGAAATTGTATGTTTGATGTTCTCGTCCAATGTGCTGCAAGAGTCCACGCGCCTGGTTTAGCCGGGACTAGCACCCGGCTTTCAAGTGCCTTCGGCAGACATGCCTCTGAATAGGTAGGTCCCAGGAATGCACTCTTGCGGAGCCCGACCTTAGAAATTTGTGTCTTGCGACAGTCTCACACGACGCACTACCTCTGCCCCAGTTCAGGCAGGCCCGACACTGTAAAAAGGTGTACTAGAAACCGGTAGGCTAACTTGACCACGCGCTTGAGGCTTACGCTTCTGGAAGACATCATAGGGCGGCTTTGATGCACTGCGACGCATGGCCCTCCTACTAAGACTACTCCACATTGTGGCGCTGTCGCCGAGACGAATGGTGAACCTGGGAAATTGGACCCTCAAGAAGACTGGGCCAATGGCAAAAGCATGCCTACAGGTCTCGCAACGGCTAACGTACGTCACATGCTTTTGCTGGCGTTGCTTCATGACTAGAAGGCGCTGCACGGAACTAATATGTGTAGGGCCGACCCGGTGACCACTACTTTTCTGGGCTAGCCGACAATCTTGCATTCTCTTCTACTACCTCTACTATACCACCGGACTATCTACCAGCGATCTTCAGTACCGCTTTTGTAGCCTAATGTTTCGGAAATGTAGCTCTATGTGGATTAGATCGTGGCCTAGCCCAGCATGCACGATCACACTGGATATGGCAAAGTCATAGGCAAAGTCACACTACCCTGCCCTCCAAGATATCCCCTACAAGGGCTTTCTTTTAGGGGAAGGTGATGGATAACCGCCCTACCCCAGATTATGCCACTTGAACTAGACGGTTCCAACCATACAGAAAGACGCAAGACATGGAGCCACCCAAATGGCCGCATCTGTAGTTGCGCACCAAGCGTGCAAACCATCACTCCGTGTGACCTTTGAGCGGGAGCCAGTAGGGAATCCTGACCGGGTCCTGCCTGTTTGTGAGCTGCTCCGGGGAGAGTTGATCCTCGATCCACCCGGTGTAGTGAACGTCGCGTTTACACAATGGTAAAACCGGGGCCACAAGGAGTGTGTACACAGCATATTTAAATAGAGAGCATCACCTGCCTTTGAGACATTCCCATCTCTACTACGCTCGACATTTCCTTTTACAAAGTGTCTTTGGATTGACTTTGCTGCTCAATCGAAAATCTGCTGGTCTGAAGTTCACGAGCATGCGTTTTTCTTCTTTGCTCGCCTGCCTGGGTGCAGTCGGCATTCAAGCCGCTGCTATACGTATGAAGATGTCTTCCGCTTTGCAATTCCAGGTTACTGACACTTTGTAGCATTCGAAAGGCGTTTTGATAACTCTACTGACTCTAGTGGAAGTCTCGATGCTGCTCAAGCTGCGGCTGCTATCGTAGATGGCTACTGGCTGAACGACTTGTCCGGCAACGGCAGGGCTCCTTTCAACAGCAACTCAAACTACAAGGTTTTCCGAAATGTCAAGGACTACGGAGCGAAGGGTAAGCAACTTTTTGACATTGATGTTGAGGATATAACTAACCAATTTGTAGGCGATGGTGTCACAGATGATTCTGATGCTTTCAACCGTGCCATCTCTGACGGCAACCGTTGCGGCCCATGGGTGTGCGACTCGTCGACCGACAGCCCAGCCGTTGTTTACGTGCCTTCTGGAACCTATCTCATCAACAAGCCCATCATCTTCTACTACATGACAGCGCTCATCGGTAACCCCCGCTCACTTCCCGTCCTTAAGGCTGCATCTACACTTCAAGCTCTTGCTCTGATCGACGGAAGCCCCTACAGCAACCAAAACGGCGAACCCGGCTGGATCTCGACCAACTTGTTCTTGCGCCAAATCCGCAACTTGATCATCGATGGCACTGCTGTTGCACCGACATCAGGTTTCCAAGGTATCCATTGGCCCGCCTCTCAAGCCACTACGATCCAAAACGTCAAGATCCGCATGACACAGGCGTCCAACTCTGTCCACGCTGGTATCTTTGTCGAGAACGGATCTGGTGGTCATATGGCCGACCTCGACATCACCGGTGGTCTGTACGGCTTGAACGTTGGCAACCAGCAGTTCACTATGCGTAACGTCAAGATCTCCAAGGCTGTCGTTGGTATCTCGCAAATCTGGAACTGGGGCTGGCTGTACTCTGGTCTCCAGATCAGCGACTGCGGCACTGCTTTCTCCATGGTTAACGGTGGCTCTGCTGGCAAACAGGAGGTTGGCTCCGTCGTCATCATCGACTCCGAGATTACCAACTGCCAAAAGTTTGTCGACTCGGCATGGTCCCAGACTAGCAACCCTACCGGTGCCGGCCAGCTCGTCATTGAGAACATCAAGCTCACCAACGTTCCCGCTGCTGTTGTCAGCAACGGCGCCACTGTCCTTGCTGGCGGCTCTCTCACCATCCAGACTTGGGGTCAGGGCAACAAGTACGCACCCAACGCATCTGGCCCATCTAAGTACCAGGGCGCCATCAGCGGTGCCACCCGTCCCACTGGCCTCCTCCAGAACGGCAAGTTCTACTCCAAGTCGAAGCCACAATACGAGACTCTCAGCACATCAAGCTTTATCAGTGCCCGCGGTGCAGGCGCAACCGGTGATGGTGTCACTGATGACACACGTGCTGTCCAGGCTGCTGTCACTCAGGCCGCGTCTCAGAACAAGGTTCTCTTCTTCGAGCACGGCGTCTACAAGGTCACCAACACCATCTACGTACCCCCCGGCTCCCGCATGGTCGGTGAGATCTTCTCCGCCATCATGGGCTCTGGCAGCACCTTTGGCGATCAAGCCAACCCCGTCCCCATTGTCCAGATCGGCAAGCCCGGCGAGTCTGGCAGCATCGAGTGGTCCGACATGATTGTTCAGACCCAAGGCGCCACCCCCGGAGCCATTGTCATCCAGTACAACCTCAACACAGCCCTCGGCTCCGGTCTCTGGGACATCCATACCCGCATCGGCGGTGCAAAGGGCACCAACCTCCAAGTCGCTCAGTGCCCCGCCGTGCTCGGCCAAGTCAACCCCCAATGCTTCTCTGCCCACACAAACGTGCACGTCACCAAGGGTGCCAACGGCGCCTACTTTGAAAACAACTGGTTCTGGACCGCCGACCACGACCTCGACGACTCAAACTCGACCCGCATCAACATCTACACCGGCCGCGGCTTCCACGTCGAGGCCAACAACGTCTGGATCTGGGCAAACGGTGCCGAGCACCACACCATGTACCAGTACCAGTTCAACGCCGCACAAAACATCTTTGCCGGCTACATCCAAACCGAGACGCCGTACTTCCAACCCACGCCCAACGCGCCCCTCCCCTATGTCTCTTCCTCCAAGTACTCGGACCCTACGTTCTCGTCCTCGCAAACCTCGGCCTGGGGCCTCCGCCTCCTCGACGCAACAAACGTCCTCATCTACGGTGGCGGCCTCTACTCCTTCTTCGACAACTACGACGTCGGCTGCTCCTCGCCCACCGCCCCCAACGGCTTCCGCGACTGCCAGACCCGCATCTTGAGCATCGAGGGCTCCACTGCCGTCCAGGCCTTTGGCTTCAGCGAGGTCGGCGTCGAGTGGATGGTTACCGCCGCCGGCCAGGACAAGGCTAGTTGGAAGGATAATCTGAGTGTTTATCCTACTACCATTGGCTATTTGAGCTATGGATTCTAGAGAGAGGACCACGCCGACAAAGGTTACAAGGGTTAAAGTATATATATATATATATGTTTTCTCTTTCTCTTATTTGGGACAGGGCAGGGGAGATTGGGAAACAGTACATAGATGAGATGGGATATGAGACATGACAGCGTTCTTTTCTTTGTTTGTAGTTATCATTTTTTCTTCTTCTTCTTCTTTTCCTTTGGAGTAATCATGGATTCACCACTTACGGTCGCTTTCTCTCATTCGCATAGCCGTAGCCTTCTCTTGTTTGCAAATAGTGGGCAAAGAGAAAAAGAAAAAAGCTTCAACGTTGGCTGTTTTTTCTTTAGCAAAGACAGTTGATGGGGAAAAAAGGGAGCTTTCTTGGCAGCGAAATACAATTGTTTACAACATAAGAAAAAAGAAAAAAAAGGCGTGCTCCTAACTGGCTATATAGGCATTTGCTATCAACATTGTATCCTTTAGGGATGACCAAAAGGTTTATTACCATCTCTGCCCTTTTCCAACAACAAAAAAAAAGCATACCATGTGCACCCAAAACGCCCGAATAGAAAGATGAGAAAGAAAAAAAAAAGACAACTACAAACCTGACAAGGCAGAAACAAAAGCAAAGAACATACAGAATAAACGTCGTAATGTGCGACTTCCACATATATTAAGAAAAATAAAACAAAAAAAACAATCATAACGATGACGAATATCCTTTCATGTATGACCAGAGAGATGCGAGTCCGCGATGCCAGCATGAAAATTGGGCGCCCCTCCATATCTTTCTCTTTCCTATATTTCCCCGATGAGCGTGGAAACAAAAGGTACACTTTCGAAGAATAAATAGGAAAAATAAAGAGAACAAAAAAAACATGGGAAGCGTTTTCCCGTACAATGACGACAATAAAAGAGAGCCTAGAAATAGCCAAAGAAGGTTGCGAGGACACAGGCGGTTATTCAAAGGAAAGGAGAAAAAGAAAAGAGTGCGCAATCGAACGCCGGGAGTTTCCCGAATATTCACAATCGCAGTAACATAGACGAGAGAAAAAAAAAAGAGAACGTAGCAGTCATTGTTGACAAGAATTGATATGTCCATCACTGTAGACGCTTTCGCTTGCGTGCATCATCTGGGTCATCTTCGTCATCGCGTTCGGCGGTTTCGGCGGGATTGAGTAGTGAGTGCACATTAGATGCCATACTGGACCGTCTTGTAGGTGGACCAGGCGTGTCGATGCCCTTGAACGGGTATCGAGCGCCCGGAAGTGTCCACCCGCTATCGGCACTAAGAGTAGATGGGACGGGGTCATTTGACCCAGGGGGAGTACCATGTCTTGACGGCACTTGCCGTGGACCACGAGGTAGTTGGTAGGATTCCAAAGCGTCACGGAGTTGTTGATCCCCGCCTCCGACAGGGGGCCGGTGTGGTGACGAGGGCCACTGTGTAGAGTTGTGACCGGATGCATAGGGCGAGTGAAGCGGAGCATTGGACTGCTGTTGCTGCTGCGGCTGCCAACCATGAGTACGGATATCCGCCGAGGTGTGCCGCCTATAAAGGTTATAGGGCGGGGAGGAGCTGTTTGCTGCCAGATTGCTTCCCAATGTAGCCCCAGATGCCGGCTGTTGGATAGTAGGCGGCGCTGGTGGAGGTGGAGGCGGGGGTGGGGGTGGCTGGTGCGAAACTGGGGTCCTGGCGGAAGATGGAGAGAAATTACCCGCGCCTATTGAGCCGTACCGTCGTGGAGATATGGCGAGATGTGCCGGAACCGGGGGCTTGTATGGGGCTTGGCGTGAAACGCTCGCCAAGGAGCCTCGCCTTGATTCTGACATATTGTCTTGTGGCATCTGCCGAGGTGAAAGCGGCGGGCCGTTATTGCTATCAACCTGCATGAAGTAGGATTGCCGTGCGGAGAGGGGCTCCTCAGGTGCTTCCAGTGCGCGGAGCATGTCTGTCTGTCGACTAATTTCACGCTGCATCATGGCGACTGGAACAGGTCAGCACAAGTGTCGCGTAATTAAGGTTTAAGTGCAGATGCATACCGTCCCTATGGATAGGGTTTTCCGGGTCTGGCACCATGGCCATAATGTAATTTGCGAGATCGTGATTCCACTAATCGGGACATTAGCCAGTGCAGATCCAGTCTAGACACATTTGACATACCTGGTGACATCGCATCATACCCTCTGCGAGAACTAGGCTCTTTTGATTCAGGTAATTGCATGTTTCTTCTGAGCGCTGCATGCGCGTGTGCATGTCGTACAGGCTATGCTCCAGGTTCTGTAGGCGTGACTCGGTTGGGTCGGGCATTGGCTCGACTGGCTGGCCAGCGGGGGGTCCTTGGGGCAGCTTTGGCGTGGAGAAGGAGTCACGATGGATGAGTGCGTGTCGCGAGGCACGTCGCTTGATTTCTCGCAGGCCGACCAAGTCGCCGCGCTTGAAGTTGCCATTTCCGTGCTTGAATTCCCATAGCGGAGTGTCTGGGGATCCGGTGTGAAAAACGTCGCTCACTGCAGTGACAGCGTTAGCATGTGGTGGAACAGAAAAAAAAAGGGGAGGGGGGAGGGAAGCACTCCAAGACTGACCTTTGTGAAAGCCATACATGTTTAATTGGCGAACGAATGACGAGATGTTGGTATGCTTGAAATAGGACCTGCGGAGGGGAAGGTGGGTTAGATTGAGTCGAAAAAAAGGGCCATAGCTCCCGGCTGGACGTACGATAGGACTTTTGAGAATTCGCTCGAGGGCGACATGACGAAGCTTTCGTTTGTGCTTGCCCAGGAGATGAGATGCTGGATGCTCTGGTCTTCAAGCATGCTGCTGGCGGGTCAGTGTCGGGGCGCACATGGAAAGCATCAGGTGATATAGAGGGCGCACGCACTTGTACAGCTTGTGTATGAAGGCGGTTTGGACGACCTTTGGCTGCTGGGCGGCGGCAGCAGCGCCCACGGCCGGGGCAGCGTTTCCATTGGGCGACGTGTTGCCCGAGTCGGTGGTTCCTTCTCTTTGCGCGTGGGATTGCGCCTGGGACTGGAAGGGGCCTTGGGGAGTGCGATCCGTGGCGGGCGGGGCGTTGATGGCTGGGGGGCCCATGGCGGACGAGGTCGAGGGCGTCACGTCCATGGGGTCTCTTGGGGGCGCGAGTGTCGAGGCGGACGAGGGCAGAATGGGTATGGACTTGTGGAGTTTGGGATTGCGTGCATCGGTGGAGAAGGGCGTGGAGCGGGCCTCGGCGACCGACGCCATTGCTTGGAGGGAGTGGGGAGAGGGAGTCGAGCTCGCGCAGGGTGGTTGCGCGTGAGCTGGGGCGGCGGTGGTGGTGGTGGTGGTGGTGTCGAGGTTGTTGCGATGTCGGTCGGGGTGAAACGGGCGGGATTGCAGATGGGCGACGAGGCAGCTCAGCAGCGTTTCGCACAGAGTCAGTGCGAGAGCGAGACTCGACGCAGAGACAGGCGACGCAGGGACCCGGGGCTGCAGTGCGGGCGGCGAGGATGGTCGGTGGGTGGGTGGCCGGGGCGAGAGGGCCAGCACTTGGGCTTGGGTCGAGTCGAGGCCTAGGGGGGAGGGCAGGACAGGACCGGACAGGACAGGACAGGACTGTTCGGCCAGCGAGGGCGGTGCTAGTGCATGGGCGAGGCGGCGTGGGATTTGGGTTCCAGAAAGGTGGGCATGGCAGACGGCGGCTCCTTTGTCGATCGGGAGCGGCCGCCGCTGTACTTAGCAGCAGTCGGATGGGAATAGGAGATGGCGAGCGACCGAGCGCCGCGCCCAGGCGGGCTCGCCTACTGCTGAGCGGCCTCTGCTACGCTGCATGCGCATGTGCTTCACGCGACGGAACGGGAGCGCTGCCGCAGAACCATGGCGGATCCCACGCCTGGTGCACGAAACGCCGTCGACCATCTGGCGAAAACACCAGCCGTTTCCGGTGCGGGGTCGGCCATGGCTCGCCATGTGCTGTCTGGTGTTGCTGCTATCACCAGCCATCCATCCAGTATACGTATGCATCATGTACTTAGTATCCATGTATCCATGTATCCATGTAGCCATGGCTGCATGCATGCGTCTCCTCTACTTACCATGCAAGCACCAGGTCGAGTACATAGCACCGCCATCGCTCGCCTACACCCACCCGCTACGACACTACACATGTACATGCATGGCGTATGTAAGCATCTCTCGTGCACCGCGCCCTCCCTTCCTCGCTGCCACTCCCTCTCTCCCCGTCGCCACACCTGCTGTCTGACTCGCCATGGCTGCCCGTGCTCCCTCCCTCCCCTGCCAAACGTCACCCGCCGAACCCTCGACTCCATCCCCCGCCCCCGTCAGCTCTCGACCAACCTTCCAATTGCCCCTCTTGGCTAACCCGCCCATATGGTCACCATGGCCCATTTCGCCCAAACCTTCGCCCGTTTCGATCACGCCCAGAGACAGCACGCCCTGGCCCTCTTGACGGCAGAGCTGACTCCCCACGAGTGGAGATATCTCCATGCTCTGACCAGCTCCCGCTCATTCCAGCTTGACATTGTTGGCCACTTGCCCATCGAGTTGATCGCTCATGTCTTCACTTATTTGGATCCTGCCGCCCCCTATCGCTACCAAGTAGTCTCAACCCGCTGGCGCCATATTCTTCGTGACCTTGTTGTGCTCAAGGCCGGCCTCATTGCATGGTACCAGGGTGCGGCCTGTCTCAGTGACTTCGAAGATTACGCTTCATGCCAGCGCGCTGCCAAGAGAATCCATGGTTTCCGCACCGGAAGACCAGTCGGCATTTACAAGATAACGTCAGACAAACAGATAGCCTGTCCCAGCCTGGTTGGTGACTACCTTGTATGGCTGTCCGGGACTACGCAAACATCAGCACTGCGTCTTGCCCATATATTCAATCTGCACAATTGGCATGTCGGTCACGCAGCCGGAGAAGCACGTGAGCAACTGGTTAACCTGGTGCTTTCGGAGCAAATCGTGGTGCTTGTCACTGCCACCAACACGTGTTACGTCTACCGACTGCCCACCCTCTCGCAGCGGAAGAAGTTCAGCGTGCCCTCGGCAAGATACCTGCAGAATGTGACTTGCCGTCGGCGTACCGTCGCCTGCCTTGCCTCGCTTGACGAGTACATGTCCGTCTTCATCTGGGACTATGATACACAGCGGGGAACATCATTTAACATTAGCAAGCACTCTGACATGTTTTTCGGCACGCACGGCCCGAGGTGAGTGCCACGGATTACCTGCTACTACCGCTACCTTTGCGAGATAGGAACCCAAATTGTGACATCTGTCTCGGGCATTGTCCATATAGCAAAGCTACAAACTACGAGTGGCAAAATGCACAGCTAACCATCACATAGACACTTGCTACACACAGTCCCTCTCCTACAACCCGAGAGCGAGACAATAGTCTTCATGTTCATCTTACCCACTCCTACGGAAACACCAGATAGTACCCTGTTTGTATGTGCCATATACACTTTTCGGGGAGATTGCGTTAGCTCCTTCCGTCCAAGCCTCCCCGAGCTCAGACGTCTTTCCGTTGGGCGTGGCGTAATGCCCTTTGTCCCAGTAGACGATTCAGGCAACGTCTTCGCAGCGCGTGTCATCACAACGAGTCCAGACTCTCCACCAACTAACCCTTCGATTGTCTCTCTACTCCTTAGATTCGATACAAAGACTAACGACGTGAGAGTATGCGAGGGCCCGGTAAATCGCAACAATAGCCCTTCCGACATTGAAAAGTATCGCTTGTACTTGTGGAAGGATACTTGGTATGCATGTCCGCCTGTGAAAGCTACAGATATCATCCACTATATGGGCACTCAGGATAAAGCAGTCTGCGTACCAGTACTTTCAGACCCCTACACCCAAGTCACAGATGTCGATACTCTCACAGAGTCTTTCTTTTTGAATGAACGCTATGTCGTCAGAGCTATGTCTGGAGATATACATCTGCTGTGCTTCCACGAAAGTTCTGTTCGACCAACAACAGGAGGCGACTTTTTCGGGAACGGAATGATTAGAGTTTTGAGTTAGTACGCTCTACAAGCTCTCAGAGCACGGTTGGTGAGTCATTCTTATATATGACATGCTCACCCGCATAGCTTTGCGGATATCCTCGTCGTGATGGGCAAGTCTTGTAGTGGTCACGTTACCATTTCTGTTAGCGACTACTGGCACTACCTCGCCACCATAAAAAACTAGAATTAGACTGTTACCAAGATCGCCCAGCAGATGCAGCGGGGGCGAATTTTAGACCTGTCACGCTACTACTAGTGTTGTTGTCTACTCTTGACAGTGTCTCGGAGTTTTTGTTTGGATGGTTAAGTAATCATACAAGCAATTGTCTGCATCAAACACCTTGTCGTCACCTGATTGGCTTCTAGCATAGCGCGGGGCACAGGGAAACCCCACCCATTGAATTTCGGCCTTCGCCGCTCTAACCTTGCCTACCTAAGTAGGTAACTATTTTGACTGCTACCGCGGCTACAGACTTTTTTTTCCTTTATTTTCTCGAGAACAGTTTCCGCCGCTTGTCTACGCCTTTCTCTTGACATTTTCGTATCCAGTTACAAGACTAAAGGCAATTTGAACAATCCGCGACAATGGTTGAGAAGGTTTACGTCACGTACAACCAGGTAAGTGGCCGTTCATGTGTAACCAGGCACCCCGCGCATGCCCACGCTCATGCGCTCCCCTTGTATACTTGCGGGCAGGCAAGAATACTTCACGAGTATTTACTTCCGAGAGTCGCACGGTCTTTGTACTCTTAACGAGCGCAGTATGCGCACAGCAAGACCTTGATCAACGTCTCCAGCCATGTCGTTGTGGTACTGAGTCGGAGTGCAACACTCTTAGGTTCCAGGCTCCAGCCAGACACTGACATGCACTCTCCACAGGTTCACAAGCTCTGCCAAGAGGCAGCTGACAAGATCCTCAATGAGTTCCAGCCCAACCTCATGATCGCTATTGGCGGCGGAGGCTATGTCCCCGCGCGCATTCTGCGGTATGCGCTCACAGTCTGTTTGAACCTCACAGCACATGAACCTGACATGCTCGCCCCAGATCTTTCCTCAAGAAGCCTGGTAGCCCCAACATTCCCATCCAAGCTATCGGTCTCTCCCTCTACGAGCAGCTTGGCTCAGGCCCCGACTCGGAAGTCGAAACCCCCGGCACAAAAGTAACACGCACACAATGGCTCGACCTGTCCTCGCTCGAGATGGCCAACCTGATTGGCAAGAACGTCCTCATTGTCGATGAGGTAGACGACACGCGCACAACGCTCGAGTACGCCGTCAGGGAGCTGGAAAAGGACGTCGAGGCAGCCGTCAAGAAGCTGGGACGCGAGGGCGAGAAGACCAAATTCTCCATCTTTGTTCTGCACAACAAGGACAAGGCAAAGAAGGGTCAACTGCCCCAGGAGATTCTCCAGGGTCGCTACATCGCCGCCAGGACCGTGGGCGATGTCTGGATCAACTACCCTTGGGAAGCTACGTACGTTTATATCCCGCATTCTGTACATTTGGCATGTACACGCCACTGACGTTTGTTTTGTAGCGACATTGACGAGCATGACCGCCTCTCCAAGGAGGCAGAGTCCAAGCAATAGACGACGGAGCCATTCGGTGCACGCTTCAGCAAATACATATACCCGCACTGACGTGGACGGAGGCGAGGGGGTGAGCATGGCGATGGAGGACAGAAAAAAACAAAAGCATAAATGATTTGGCATCGGGGCACAAACGTACAGGGAACCTATACTGGAGTTTGAAGGGAAATGGTGATATTTGAAGCCATTCAAGGACTAGCCTTGTGAATGAGGTACGATTGAAGTTGGTAAAGAAGCAAATCCAACTTGGTTAAATGACAATGACGAGTGAAAGACAAGTTAAACTCTCTTTGTTTCCACAGTATTCCTCATTGATTAGTACAGGGTATCTTATCGATATTCTATGCTACATGCCCCGTCACCATCATCATCATACGTCTTAAAAGAAGCCCATCCTCTTTAACGTGTTCAAAAAGAAAAAGAAAAAAAAATTCACACAAGATTTCCTTTCACTGCCCCGCCTCTGCCCTCTGCGGCGCCCATGCCTTGAGCCAACTCCTCGCCCTGTCCAAATCGCCAGCCTCAGCCTCGAGCGCGGCAACACACCACTCGAGGGCATACCCGCCCTTGCCCTCGATGCCCCTCTCGGCGGCCATCATCTCCGCCAGGGTCCTACATTTCTGGGCGCGCTCATCGACGCAAAAGTGGAGTGGGGTGTGATACCCTTTGCCATCCATGCCCTGCAGAAAAGGTTTAACGAGGGGGATAGCATCCTTTGTGGGGACAGACTGATCGGGTTGCCCGAGATTCTTGCGTCCAGAGCGACAGTACTCGTTTCGGCACCAGTCCTTGGCGCAGCCGGTGAGGAGCTGGCTGAGGTAGCGGCGCTCGATGCGGCGGCGTAGGGCTTTGCCTTCTGGGTCGTGCAGGGAGACGTATAGGGGGCCAAAGCACGTGCTGCAGAGTCCGATGTCGTTACCTGGACCCTGTCCTTTGCGCGTGCCGGCGCGCGTATCGCCGTTTTTCGCTGCTCCGTCCTGCGTTCGGCCGCAGTTGACGTTGCGGCAGAGGCGCGGTGGGGGGCGGGATAGGCGCTCCAGATCGTGGTGGCGGAGATGCGTGTCCATATCTCTGAAGCGGGTGATTTTGCCGCACAAGTGGCATTCTGTCGTGCGGCCTCCGTCGGCGAGTTCGTGGGCGGTCAGGCCTGAGAGGACGAGTTCGGGGGACTGTTCGTTTGGGTCGCCTTCTTGTGCGACTTGCAGGTGGCAGAAGCGGCAGAGAATGAGTTTGGCGGGACATAGGGTTGTTTTGTGGTGAGCGAGGGTGGGAAGGGAGGGGAAGGAGAGGGAGCAGGAGGGGCAGGTTTGTGGGCTGTGGTAGTATGCACTATGTTTTTGGTGGCTAAGGGGCGTGTTGCCTGTGAAGGTGTCGTGGGGGCAGTGCCAGTGGGCTTCGTATGCTTTGGAGCGCTTTTGGAAAACTTGGCCGCAGCCTTGGGGGCAGAGGATGTTATTCCGGAGGCAAAAGTTTTCGTGGAGGAAGAGGGATCCTTTGGGGACGATTTGCTTGCAGTTTTTGCAGATTACTTCGTCTTCTCCAACTTCAGGTGAGTCTCCTCCAGTCTTGCTTTCGGCTTCGGTCCTTGGATCAAATATCGAGACCCTCAGGCGGAAGGGCTTTGGTGTTGTGGAGGGTGATGCGGATGGATATGCGTGTACTGAGATCCATATTGCTTCTGCTTCTTCAAGCTCGATGTTCGTAGGTTGTAAACGTATGCGTTTGGGGTACTGACTAGACAGATCTGCAAAGACGTGCTCCTCTTCCCGAGGACGAACTCTCTGGCGTGAAGAGAACGGACTAACGAAGAGATCAATCTCGTCTTCGTCGTCAACCTCATCTAAGAAGATCTCCAGTCCTTGAGATCGGTCCCAGGAGGCTAGTTCAAAGTCAACATACTCGCCCTCAAGTATCTGTCCAGATTGTGCATTAAATATATCGATAGTGCCCCCGGTTGAACTGCCTTGTTCGGTGCCAGGCGCACGGTGCCTTTTAGCTGCTATCCTTTTCAAGGTTTCGCGTGCCTGCTCTTCGTTCAAAGGTTCAATATCGACCTCCAAATCCGTATCCACGACGCATATTCCCTCTCCCTCAGGCTTGAAGCCGTCAATCAAGAAGCGGAACTCCTCGCGCTTGCCGCCGACTCCTCGACCGCCATGCACGACCAGAATCTCGCCGTTTGTCAGCGTTGTATAGTTCGATCGTAGGTGTTCTTCGAGTAGCGACTTCCAGTCCTCGGGGTCGTAGCCTGCTTCTAGAGGCCGTAGCTTCACAAAGGCGCCCTTGGGTAGCTGCTTGGCATGTACGGTAATTTTAATAGCGGCGTCGTTATTACTGCCGCTGCCAAGTGGCTTGTCTACTCCGTTTTCCATGGTATGGTCTCCATCTTTGTCACCGTCTGGGCTCCCGTTTCTCGAGGGCTCTGCAGATCGCTCTTGGATGCCCAAGGCCTCTTTCAAGAAGCTGCTCAGCACGATCTCGCCCTCTTCCGCCGAAAACTCGCGAATGCCTGCGTGTACGGCTCGGCCATTGTCCGGGTTTACCAGGCGAAAGGTAAGCGGGTGGGGTAGTTGCTGAAATCGGTCCTGCGCTTGCGCCCGCGCATAGCGCTCAGCGTTGAAGGTGTATGGGTTGAAGGGATCGAAAGCGGTCAAGTGGGGCTGGTTCGCGTCGACATGGACTACGGGTGCCGCAGCAAGCAGCTGTTCTAGCGCTGAAGGCGGCAGGAGGACTTTGTCGCCAGGAAGTGCATTTCGGGTTGCACTAGCGAGGTTGTACTGGCCGGACCATTTGAGCTCTGCTGCAGCGGCGTCTGCCTCGGGGTTCATGGCGGATGGGGGTATCGCAAAGGAAAAAAAAGAGACGGTGACAACACGTAACAAGGAGTGTGCTAGCACCAGGCTACATGAGGCGGTGGCAGCAAGTCTGGTAGTGCTGTCAGTCGCCGACGGCTGACATATGCGGCTCTGCTCGAAGCTTCGGTGATGGGTGGCGTCATAGCTTACCTCTGCTAGTAGGACAGGACGGGACTAGCAGAGCAGAGTAACTCCGAGCCGCGATGCTTATCGATAAGACCGAGACGCGCGCGGGAGACGCGTGCAGCGTGCAGCGTGCAGCGTGGGAGGTTCCGGTGAATGGCGGGGAAGGACTCGTTTCAACTGTACATTGGGGCCCATCTGTCTTCGCCCTTCCACTCTCTAGGCGTGCATTAGCCGCGAGGGGCCATGCAACATTGCCGGTCACGACTCCACGTCCCTCCATGTTTTGATATGGCGATTCATTGCCGTAACTGGCCAAGGCGGGGCAGATAGCCCGTCTGGCAGTGTCACGGCGCCCGCTTGGGGATGCCGCAGCAGCGGCCTGCTAATGTTTCCGGTGTCAAACACCTAAGCCTTTGGACACGGCCTTGGCTGCAAAATGTGTTCCAAGGCATGCTTCATCGCCGCCTGATCTTGCACACATCTGCCAATTGCTGGCTGTCCCCCGCTTGGCAGGGTCTTGTATCTGCGATCGCCACAGGGGCCGCGCACCCCACGTCCGGCCCAACCCCAACCAACCTCTGCAACGTCCATTAGTCGATCCTCTTGCTCATCCCAAGCACTCTCCTGCAGCGTCAGACCAAGGGCACGTGCCCCCCGTCTGGGCAACCTTCTTCGCTGTCATAAAGATTCGGTGAGTACCCGTCTAATCCGCCTGGCCAGCTTCTCTCTCTGCCCGCTCTTGACCTTTCGCCATGGGCCCGGCTTCATTCACCCACGACCTTCCTACCTCCCTGGCGGACCTTCTCTCTAATACCCTAATTCTGCGTCAAACTGCCCCATATCTCCCCGTCTCGGCTCTCCGTAATCTGTCCCGGACCTCAAAGTCCCTCCACCATGCCATCATCCAATCCCCGGAGGCCTTCCGCTACCTTGATCTCTCAACCGTAAAGTCCGCCATTGTACCCTCTGACGGCCCTCTGGATGTCGGCGGCGTCAACTTCCGTGCCCAACGCATGGACGAAGCCCTCACTGAAGACGACTTCTACAGCGGCCCCCTACGACACATCTTCAACAGACTCGAAAAGATCCACATCCTCCAGAATGTCCACACTCTGGTGCTAGACGGGCTCAGCGTAACAGCAGAGCTTGTCAACGACCTGCTCACAGAAGAGAGATTTAATGTACGCCTACTCTCTATCCGTGAAGTGAAGAACTTGAACGAGCGCAAGCTTCAACAATACCTGCGATATGCTGTACGTCCGTCAAGACCCGAGGGCACGCCTCGAGTCAAGGGCATCTATCTCTTTGGATCTCGCGATCCTCCTCCGCGTCCTGTATCGTCCCCGACAAAAAGACAACCGTCACCCGTATCCAGAGGGGTCATGTCGTCAAAAGGAGCGCAGATTGGAGCTCAGTGGAACGAGAAATCACAGCAAGCACTGGACGTTGCACTGTCACGCACAGAAGACAAATGGTACAAGTCATCAGGAAAGATTATATCAAAGCGCCCCTCTCCGGAGTGGGCAGAGATACTTCAGGAGTGTGCCGGTATCATTGCTTTTGATGCTGTTCTTTGCAGAGGTCCACGACACGACCCAAGCAAAGCATACATTAGGGACCCTGCAGTTGCGGGAGCTCATCACCCAGCATCCTTCCTCCGACCTTCGATTGCCACTGTTGCCCTGGGACCATCTGGATGCGAGACATGCCATTCCTCCCCTGAAGGACCAGCCGTGTTCGGTAGCTCCAGCCCGGCTCATCATCCACTACTAAGTCCCGTTCCGCTGCATGGCAGCACTGTCCGTGCTGCTCAGATACCACACACCCTTGACGGAACCACCCCTCCGCCTCTCATAGTACGATGCGAAGACTGCCTCAGAGGTCGTTGGTGCGAGAGGTGTCACAAGTGGTGGGATGAAGATTGTTACGTTGTTCCTGCTACCGCCCAACGTACGGAATTGCAGCAAACTGAGATTGTAGCGAACCTCCAATCTGACGGGACCACTCGCATGCTCCCAAAGCAAAAGACCAAGGTAATTATGGACCTCTGCGTGGAAGAGTGCCTGCCTTTAGAAGCAATGGTTGGCACTGGCAACAACGAGATGTGGGGGTGAAGACACCTACCTTGGCGCACGGGGAGCGAGATTATCTTGAGGCCGTTACCAAGTAGCCGGATTCCGGAACCTAGTCTTCTCTAGACTAGCCGTGGAGCCTGGTTATTGGATAATTGCAACCTGGAGATCGTCACTTGTGCGTCGAGGTATGTGCTTCATCTTTAGGCAAGAAATAGGCTAACGTGGACACTCGCAGGTTATCGGTGTAAGGCGTGATTGTTTTGGCTGTGGCCATACTGTATGTACCCCTGTGCCTTCACTTTTATCATACTAATATCCGGCAGTGCATCACTTGCAAAGAGCTCTTTATTCGGACCTGCAAGAAGTGCAAAAATGAGTATTGCCGTGAAGACAACGACGCTTCTTCTGACACTATGGTGCGTGCAAGTCATGGCGAGAGCGATCTATGTACTGACTATTCCTAGTGTGACTGGTGCAACTACACTTCGCGAAGAACTGTAGAAATGTATTAAAATGCCCGAGTGACACTTCTAGCGAGCCTACGCCTGCTCTAGGGCCGCAGCCAGGTGCTGTTTATGATTGATGTGAGAATTCTGGACATGAATAATGACTCTCCTCTTGTTAGCAATATCGAATACCCATCTCCACCAAAAGAGAACCAAATGAATAAAAAAATTACATAAGAGATTGCTTGTTCCAACATGGTGATTTCTCTTAAATTCCTGAAAAGAGATTTAGCGTGCTTCTGAACTAGTGTAGACGTACCTTTTTCGGCGTGTTGTAACCATGAGCTATGACTAAGCCAAATCGGCGAATGAAGACGAGAAAACGCCGATGCACACGATGACATGTGGCTGTCGCATCTGAGCCGCAACACTGCGAACACAACCACTGCTTTCTTAGCATCCTGGCAAACAAACACCCTACCCTTCTATCCATCCCGCTTTCGATGCGATCTGTCCTTTTAGCTCAATAGTCCACAGTGACGTCGGCTGTTGCCCCACGTAATAACTTGAACCAAGGCTCCGCGACAGCTCCGCCAGGCATCCTAATTACCCTCCTATTCAATTGACCCCCCTCGACCCATTTCCTCCCTCCAAACACCGCGCCCTCGATCGGATTTTTCGCAAAATGGCCCAATACGGCTATGGACAGAATCCTCAGTACGGTGCAGGCAATGCACAAAACCTTCAATTCTACTCCTCGTCCTTCTCGAATCAACCAGTATCTGGACACTCTACACCCTTCCAAGCAAACTATGGCGCGCCAGCGAGCCAAGCATATCCTTCTCAGTATGGCGCCGGGTTTTCAGCTCCAGGTGTGAGTGGGCAGATGGGAATGGGTACATCAGGCCTGCGTACAGGCTGGCTGGCTGCATTTGGCACAGAGGGGTATGTAGACAGCGTTTCGACATGAAACATTGCTAACAATATGCAGATACGAAGGAGAACCACCACTACGTACGCAACTTCGGGAACCCGAGCATACGCGCAAGCTGACAAAATGCAGTGGAAGAGCTGGGAGTGAACTTTAAGCATATACAAATGAAGGTGGGTGGTGGGCAATACTTAATTGAGATGCTAGGCTAATGATGTACAGACGTTGGCCGTCCTGAACCCTTTCGGCCGCATCGATCAGCACATTATGGATGATAGCGACGTAGCTGGCCCGATTCTTTTCTTCTTAATATTTGGCACGTCTTTATTGGTATGCAGGACACGTCGTTTTACGGAGAGTACGAACTAACTGCTATCAGTTGTCTGGCAAACTCCATTTTGGTTACATATACGGTATGTGTTTTTGCCCCGTGTATAGGCGGTAATTGACAGTATACAGGATTGGCATTTGTCGGCACTATCCTGCTTCATCAGATCCTTTCTCTCATGTCCCCTCCTGTCAACGTGGTTGAGACGACACCCGGAGATCATGGTCACCCACACGGGTCGCACCTAGGGTCCTCATTAACATTTCCACGATCGGCGTCTGTCCTGGGTTACTGCCTGCTCCCTCTCGTGTTGGTCGCCATCTTCGGAATCATTGTTCCACTTGATGGGTTGTTTGGATATCTTCTTACCAGTCTGGCAATCACATGGTGCTCGTACAGTTCAAGTTCAATGTTTACCGTTGTTGGTAAGTTTGCCTTTTGAAGCCTAGAGAAAGCATGCGCTAACTCAAATTACAGGCCGTATGACATCAATGCGAGGCTTGGTAGCATATCCTATGGTTCTCTTCTATGGCAGCTTTGGTATTATGGCCATTTTCAGCTCACGGGGCACCGGACAACTCGCAAAGGCGGCGGCATCGTAAAGCAAGATGAATGTGGAGGGCTCAGTGAATTTTTGACGGCAAAACTTGTAGAATAAACACTCAGGTGTCTGTACTATTTTTTAAAGGATCAATAAAATACAAACATATCCAAATGTGGTACTACTCACACGGATGTGTCGAGGCGGGCAGCCAATCAGAGCGCGGATGACATACTTGGAGCGATGACGATGCGAACCCTGCACGAATTTGTTTCTCCCGACAATCTCCGCCACCCGTCGCATCTTCTTCAGCCCTGTGTGTTCTTCCCTGCTTTTTCCCAAAAACACTTTTCTTCTTCTTTACATACAGAAATCCAAAATGGGTTGGTTTTGGGCAGACATCGCACCCTCTACGCCTGCTGCGCGCAATGCACCGCATCCAATGCCACGAGGCAGCATGGAGCCTCCTGTATGTATAGTAACACTATTTGCATCTGCACCTCTGACAATGCCTCCAGCCAGAATGCCCTATGCACAAGAAAGCTGCACCACCCGTCGTTACAGAGAAGCCATCTCAAAGCGCCTGTCCCTACGTCCCACCTGAGAAATCCTCTTCTGGTCCATCCGAACCGCCAAAGACCGGCCTACTCTCCCGCCTAAACCCCCTCAACAACATGTTCGCCGACCTCTCCAACGAGCGTGCAGACAAGCAAGTCCACAACCTCCCTCTGGAGCGCGAAACCTCCACCATCCCCAAAGGCGACGGTTCCCTCTGGGAATACCCCTCCCCGCAACAAATGTACAACGCCATGCTCCGCAAAGGCTACACCGACACAGACATCACGGCCGTCGAAAGCATGGTCGGCGTGCACAACTTCCTCAACGAAGGCGCCTGGGCCGAAATCATGGGCTGGGAACGCCGCTTCTCGCGTGGCCTAGCCGAAGGCTACCAAATCTGCAAAAAAGGCGAGGACGTAGCAAACTTCCTACTCGGCACCGCCGACGATCCCTTTGACACCACCACCTGGGACGACAAAGATATCCCGCCCCCAAAACTCCTGCGCTTCACCGGTCGCCCGACGGAGCCGACGCCGAAATCTCAGATTTTGCAGTGGCTCGGGTACGTGATGCCGGAGCAGTTTGGCACTAACCCCCCCTTTGATCGCCACGACTGGTTCGTCGAGCGCTGCAATGAGAAGGGCTGCAAGGAAATCCGCTACGTGATTGATTACTACGAGGGTGCGCCCGAACCCACGGGTGAACCGGTGTTTTACCTCGATGTCAGGCCTGCTGTTGATGGGCCTACCAGTGCTGCTGAGAGACTGATTCGCAGTGGAACCGATCTTTGGTGGAGGGCTTCGGGCGGTGTGACGAGGGAGTTGAAGAAGCTGGAGGCGGCGAAGAAGGCGAAGGAGGAGGAGTGGGCCGCGAAGAGTCGACAGTATAACTAAGGGTTGGGGATGATGGGGGAGTTGGTTGATGCATCTTTTTGTGGCGTTTTTTTTTTCAAGTAAGGTTGGGGAGTTGGGATGTATGATTATGATGTTTGTGTGGGGATATGAGTTATGGGGTTATGGGCTCCCCTTTTTTTCCCATCATTCATGTTTGATTAGGGCTTACCCGTTTCCTTTTTGCCTGTTACATATCTTTTTTTTAACTCTACTCTATCTCGAATTCTCATGTTCAATCATGTTGAATAACTCTGTCTTCCGAGTTATCATCCCTAAAAAATCCAACTTGCAGATCAAAAGGCACTGCAAAACTTTTAATGTTGAAAATCCTGTTTGATATCATTGTTGAATCTATCTACATCTCCATCTCATCTTGGTCCGTGTCTATCTCTCTCTCAAGACACAAGTATACATACCTAGTATATAGCCAACCCCTTCACTATATTTCTCCTTCTCGAAAGAAGAAAAAAGAGCAAAACGCCCTAAAATGCATATCAAAACCCCTGAGAACAATTAAAAATAGAAACACATCTGCAACCCCACTTGTCACATTACTCCAACTCACCCACCCTTCTCCACCACCCAAAGCCAGTGCCATGTTGAAAAGCCACAGGATATGGGTCTAACTTGACAAAAGGGTAAAACAACCAAAAAAGGATAGAACGCCGAGACACCATAATGCTTTGGTAGGTGTATTGTTGAAGTACTGTAAATCGAAGAAAGAAACAAAAGGTTGAAAGAAGCGAAAAAGGGGGGGGGGCAGAAAGACGAGATGAAACGTCCATATAGCAGCATATTTTTATGCCAATGACCCCCCCACCAGAAAGAAAACTCGTTCATTCGTCGTCGTTGTCGTCGTCGAAAAGAAAGGAACCACCGTCTTTTAGGTAAAGAAGCGTGGTTAAGTTGGATTCGGCGCGGCAGCACCTGTGATATCGCTGTCCTCGCCCTGAACCGGGGCACAAGTACAGAAGAGATTTGTGTCACCGTATGCTGTATCATCGTTAGCCAGACTGTCCCTCTCCAAAAACATCCCAAAAAAAGAATCTCGAAAAGGGACAAAAAAAGGAAGAACATACCATCATCCAACCTCGCCACCGAAGGCCAAAACTTCTTGTCCCTGAGATAACCCAATGGATACGCCGCCTTCTCCCTCGAATAACTGCGCTCCCACTGCTCCTGAATAAGATCCTGCTGTGTATGCGGGCTCATCTTGAGCACATTGCCCTCTCTGGGCTGTTTTCCCTCTTCTACATCCCTAATCTCCTGGCGAATAGAAATAAGCGCATCACAGAAGCGATCAAGCTCGGCTTTACTTTCCGACTCGGTAGGCTCAATCATGAGGGTATTGGCGACGGGCCAGGACATGGTGGGTGCATGGAAGCCGTAGTCTTGGAGGCGCTTTGCGATGTCGATTGCTTCTACGCCGGCAGTTTCCTTGAAGCCGCGGACGTCGAGGATGAATTCGTGGGCGCAGCGGCCTTGGGAATTTGTGTAGAGGATGGGGTAGTGGGGCTTGAGGCGGGAGAGGATGTAGTTTGCGTTTAGGAGGGTGATTTTGGTGGCTTGGGTTAGGCCGAGGGCGCCCATCATTTTGATGTAGGCCCAGCTGATGGGCAAGATGCTTGCACTGCCCCAGGGCGCGCCGCTGACGGGGTGGATGGCTTGGGAGCCGCCCGTCTCGCCGCGGAGGTGGCCGGGGAGGAAGGGAGAGAGGTGCTCTTTGACACCGATGGGGCCGACACCTGGACCACCACCACCGTGGGGGATACAGAAGGTCTTGTGGAGGTTGAGATGGCACACATCGGCACCGATCTCACCGGGCGAGCAAAGACCAATCTGGGCGTTCATGTTGGCACCGTCCATGTAGACTTGACCACCGTGTTGGTGGATAAGATCGCAAGCCTCCTTAACATTGGGTTCGAACACACCAAAGGTACTGGGGTAGGTGACCATGAAAGCACCAAGCTCATCACTGTGCTTCTCACACTTGGCCTTGAGATCTGCCATGTCGAGATTGCCAGTCGCTTGGTCGCACTTGATGGGCACAACGCGCATACCGCACATGGCAGCACTTGCGGGGTTGGTACCGTGAGCAGAGACGGGAATCAAGCAAATATCACGCTTCTTGCCAGGCTGCTGCTCGAGGTACTTGCTGATGACGCGAAGACCAGTGAACTCGCCCTGAGCGCCAGAGTTGGGCTGAAGAGAGACAGAGTGGAATCCGGTAATGTTAGCAAGATCATCTTCCAGCTGTGTGATCATCTCAGTGTACCCCTTGGCGCGCTCCAGTGGCAGGAATGGGTGTAGGTTGGAGACTGTGTCGAACGAAACGGGAGCCATCTCGGCGGTGGAGTTGAGCTTCATGGTGCATGATCCGAGAGGGATCATCGAGTGGACGAGTGAAAGATCCTTGGAAGAGAGGTGATTGATATATCGGAGAAGCTCTGTCTCGGAATGGTGCGAGTTGAAGACGGGGTGGGTCATGAATGGGCTGGTCCTCTTGAAAGGTGCGGGAAGCTCGGTATCAACTGGCTCGTTGAAGTGTGTCTTGTCGCCCTTCCCAAACTTCCTGAATACTCCGAGTAGATTGGTGATAGTCTGAGCGGTTGTAGTCTCATCGACCGAGATACCAATGTGTTTGTCGTCGACCCTTCGGACAAGGAGTTCCTTCTTTTCGAGCTCAGCAATGATTCCATCTGTGTTACCCCCAGTCTCTACGATGAAGGTGTCGAATAAGACAGGGGCGTTATCCATCTTTCCACGTTGACCAGTCTTGAAGCCGTTGTCTATGATAGCTTGTTGAATGAGACGGGCCTTGGCAACGACTTGCTTTGCAATGGCAGTCAAACCGTTTGGTCCGTGGTAAACACCGTACATGGCACTCATGTTGGCTAAAAGAGCCTGTGCTGTGCAAATATTGCTCGTTGCCTTCTCGCGGCGAATGTGCTGTTCACGAGTCTGCAGCGCAAGTCGTGCCGCCTGGTTGCCGAGTCTGTCCTTGGAAAGACCGATCAAGCGACCAGGAATCTTACGCTTGTACTTCTCGTCGCATGCAAAGAAAGCGGCATGTGGTCCACCGAAGCCCAGAGGCACACCAAAGCGCTGTGCGTTTCCAAAAGCGATGTCGGCACCGAACTCTCCAGGGGGAGTGAGCAGTGTAAGAGCGAGAAGATCGGTGGCTACACTGAAGAGAGCACCAGTCTTGTGTACCTTCTCAGAGAGTTCGCGGAAGTCGTTGACACCTCCATCTGTGTCTGGGTACTGAGCGAGCACACCGACGAGATCTTGGCCAATCTCCTCGACCCTCTTGCTGTTGTCCTTGAGCAAATCGGCGACCTCGATTTTGATACCAAAGCCCTCGGCACGAGAATGCAGAACAGCAAGCGTCTGTGGATGGCACTTATCCGAGACAAGGAAAGTCTTATTCTTGCTCTTTTGCTTGGATAGCGGCATGACGCCCATGGACATGGTCATGGCCTCAGCTGCGGCAGTGGGCTCGTCGAGCACCGATGCGTTGGCAATGCTGAGACCTGTCAGATCCGTCACCATGGTCTGGAAGTTCAGCAGCGACTCCAAGCGTCCCTGGCTGATTTCAGGCTGGTACGGTGTGTAGCTTGTGTACCACGCAGGGTTCTCGAGTACATTCCTCTTGATGACTTCTGGCACCTTTGTTCCATAGTATCCTTGCCCAATCAGACTCTTGCCAGGCTTGTTCTGGTCCAAAATCTTCTTTGCATTGTTGAGGAAAACGGACTCGGGCACTCCATTGTTCTGCCATTCGCTGTCGTGGTGTTGGGCAAGTTTTCCAATCTTCAACTCGCGGCCTGAGAGAATGTCAGCGGGGATGACTTGCTTGACAAACTCGTCCAGGCTGGCCGCTGGTGGGTCGAGGGCTTTGAGCATGGCTTCGGCCGTCTCTGCAGAGGGGCCAATGTGTCGGCGGGGAAAGGTATCGAGTGCCTCGAGCGGCGTCGCGTAGGCTGTTTGCTGGGGTGGAGTGTCGAATACATCGTCAGCAGCATCGACGGCCAAGGCAGCCGCCTGTTGTGAGGTTGTAGCATTCTGCTGGAATGCTCGCTTTTGAAGCGCCTGGTGAGTTTGATATGCGACTACACGCGATGAGCTGCCTGCGAGCTGTGGGCGAGACAGCTGGGCAACGCATGACGAGCGTGTGAGGCGGCTAGCAGTGCTAGCAGCCCTGAGGCATGCAGTCCTCATCTTTGCTGTGTGGTAGTGTTAACGCTACGAGGGGTAGTGGTGTTCCCCGAGTGGTGCTCCCCGAAAGGTGATGCTGATAGAGGACGCAATTGTCCTGTACTTCCCACAGCCGACTAGGTGAGGCGGCTGCTGCTGCTGCGGCTGCTGCTGCTGCAGAGAGGAGAAGAAACACAAAGGGATTGCGCTGCGTCGAGACTTTTTTTCTTTGGATTTTATTTTGGTTGCGACCATGGGTGACTATCTATCTACGCAGCAGGTAACCCGTCACTATCCGCCCAGTAAGAATGGGCAGCCCAGCCGATAAGGGCAAGCATGTGGCTGGTCGACAGCGGCGGGCGGGGGCCCACTAAACCCCAAGATGACCGTCCTTGCATCCACACGCATTCCTAGCACTTTTTGGGCAAATCTAAGCCGCTTACCTGGGCAATCCATTACTTCATACCTGTCTATTAGCTCGCAGCCCGTTTTACTCCGCAGCCCCGGCCATTGCGCAAGCCCGCTAGATGCTCGCCCGTCGCGGCGCCATTGTCCGACGGAGATTCTTTTCTTTCTCCGTCTCCTCAGTCACTGGAAGCACGCCTTGCTCACGCAGCTGCGCTAAGTACTCTTTGCCTGTGTGTCCTCTGTTAGCTGTGAAAAATTTTGTGCCCGGCCCGACTCCGATAACGCACCATATTTGTACCCGACTTCGTATATCTCGTCGAATTTCGCAAAGTCTAGTGTACCGTACGGATCGATTGGTGGCCGCATGTACCTGCATCCCGGCGTATTCTTCGCTCGCTCCAACGCATCAATGCTAGACACATATGCCAGTCGGGATTGTATTTCTGATAGTGTCGGCGGATTTGGGAAGCTTGAGAATGGGTTCCACCGATTGAATGTTGCCCAGAAGCCACTGAGTGAATCGCCGAACGCTTGTGGCGCGTTGTCGTCAAGGCTGCCGACATCGACCGCAAAGATGATGTCTGCACCTAAACTCTTCATGTGCGCTACAGTCAAGTTGTCGACGTAGCCTCCATCTAGAAGCATGCTGCCGTCGTCGCATAGTGGCGGCAGTAGACCCGCAAGTGACATGGACGCACGGACATAGCGCCATACATAGCCTGACGTGTGAATCTCCGACCTCGACTTGCTGATGTTGGTCGTATTACAGTAGAACTCAAGCCAGAAGTCTTCAATCTGCGAGTTGCCGAAAGTCTTGAAGATGCCACGGTTGAACTCGTGGCCAGTAGTGTACGAAACACTGCTTACAGTTAGCACTAAGCACACCCAGACCACCTTCTGCAACCACTCACGAGGGATATGTGAGATCAAGTGCAAATCTCCACATGCTGCCCATGCGACCCGAGAACTTCTTCGCCCTGCCAAACATAGGAACCACATCTGCATCCCATGCGTATAGAGCACCGATAAAACTGCCAATAGATGTCCCTCCTACAATATCAATCGGGATTCCTGCCTCTTCCAGTGCGCGGATAATGCCAATATGCGCAATACCACGAGCTCCACCACCCCCCAGCACAAGCCCGACTGACCGACCACATAGTCGGCGAGCGAGCCGATGGAAGTCGCCTTTGAATGGTGTATCTGCAGAGTAGAGAGGGGTTTGACGAACTTTCCTTGACGTGTATTTTTGGATCTCGGCTTGGATGACTTGCACTCGTTGCTTGAGTGCGTTTCCAAACCGCCGGCCAGCATGATGAACTGGTTCCGATGTTGCGCGGAATGACATCTGGATGTGGTGATGGCTGCCGTTGATCCAAGGTCGGTTTCGTAACCACTTTCGTGTGAGACCAGAAGCACAATATCTTTCCGAATGTAGGAGTACTAGCTCTTTTCGTGCCGTCGTCTTCGTCGTCAACAGGAAACGCTCATATTCGCCAATGTTTGGCGAAGCTTCTGCTAAACCCACAAGAAGAATACAATCGGCTTGGTTAATACATGTCTGCGTCCAAGGCGACTTGACTGGCGTGTCAGCAACATATATTACCATGCCATACTTTACTTCCAAGTCAGCAAGATACTGTGAAAGCTTGAGTTTACCCATTCGACTGAAAGCATGTCTTCCAAGGTGGTTTAGAATGGCCGCTTGATTGAGCGAAACGACGCCTTGAGGTATGCCGATTTGTGCCAATGCATTCACAAGCCGGCTTCCAAAATCCACCACTGGAACTCCAGCCGAGACTGGAAGAATGGTAACGGTACGAAGGTTGATCGTCGAAGACACATTCGCCCGCGTGGCCTTGGAACTCCGCTCTTTACTCTGTTCGTGGAGTGGATCATCGACCAAAGCTCTCATCCGAGATGCAATAATCTTCGAGATTTTGATGGTAATTCCAGGATATTCCAAAGCAAGGCTTTTAAAAAGCGTCTTTGGAAACTTTGCAAGTTCGGTATCCCGAATGGCGTGCAACGACCCAGGGCGTGATGATTCGGTAAGCACTTCGAGCTCGCCCACGCTGTCACCTTGACCGTATTCGCCAATAACTTTGACATCGTTGTTTTCAGCATCACGTATTGCTCTTAATCGTCCGTTCAATACGATGTATATCGCATCACTCTCATCGCCCTGGTTGTAGATGACTTGCCCAGCGTTCACCTGAACCCACTCAAGCGCAAAGTCGATATGCTGAACCAGACGTGGTAGGAGTGTCGTGAGGCGCTTAGCCATGGTAAGCAGCACCACTGGATAGCGCTCCACTATCCGTTCAATGGCCGCACGAGGCAGGAAGCCTACATAGACGTCGGTTTTGGCGGTAACGTCAACAAAAGACCGATTGGATGATATTGCCCCAAGATATCCGGCTAGGCCACCAGGTTTTGTCATGAAGAGACTTCGCCTTGTGCGCTTCTTCTTCGTGCCTTCCCCACTCGAGCGTGAAGGAGTATTTGAGCTAACCGGTCGGAGCGGAGGGCCAAACAGGTCTTCTTCAGTGTATCCAGGAACGTTCGAAAAATTTCCGAACGTGCTAGTTTCAGATTTCTCTTCTTCCATGAGTACACTCACGTCGAGGAATCCGTCGATCACATAGTACAAGCCGGGGTTTCGTTCGCCTTGCTCTACAAGAACAGAATCTTTGGGGAAGAAGACAATCTCTACGTCATTTACAATCTCTTCCACAATGTTGTGCGATCCTACACCGCTTGCGTTTGACATGCCTGACGCAGATGCTACAGATTCGGTATCGCCATCTCGTGAAGCTGCGTAAGGATCGATGAAGCCAAATGCATTCGTAAAGACGGCTTTCTGCCGGCTAGCGTCGAATGAAACGAGTTGGGGTGACTGTTCTACTGATGCAGTTGGTCTGGGCATTGGGTTTTCCGGATTAGTGAGTCCGATAGCCTTGAACATGCAACCAAGTATGGACTCTCTGAAAACGGTGGCCTCGTCAATAGATTCTTGACGATGAAGTGTCTTGGGGCGAAGTGAGGGAGAAGCAAAGGGATTGAAAGATCCAGCATCGAGTGGTGTCCGAGCATCGCGACGTTCTTGTTGAAATGGCTGAGAGAAGCTGTTCCGACTACTGCGGCCTGCCCCTCGGGTCGCTTGTGAGTTGGTCAACAGATCGCCAGCGCTGATACGATCATTGCGCGGCCCTTGGTCAGGCGAGGTGATTGTAGGCAGTACTTCAAAGCCGGCGTTGAGTGTTGCGCCCCGTGCAGCGGCAAGGCGAGCTTGCGCAGCTGTGCCTCGTCTCAATGATACACTGGATCTGTTTCGACGACCAGCGCCCGGATTGTGCAGTGCGATGCCCTTCATGCCTTCATCCGGACCAATGCGCTCCGTCTCTTTGGCAAATTTTTCCTTGAGTCGCTCGAGCGGAGCGTCTCGCAGGAAGCCCGGAAGATCGTACGTTGTGTACTTGTTCATAAGCTTCTCTGTACGGAGCACTTCGTTCGTCAAACTCAGATACTCATGACTGGTGGCAAGTGTAACTCTTTGTAGACGGGTAAGAATGACTTGTACAATATGCGCTGTTGCTTTGGGGTAGATGCGCGTCAATCGACGAAATGCAGTGGCGGGTATGATGGCAATGGTTGTGTCTACGGCAGCACGTGCGACAATGTCCGGGTGGGCAGATTTCGACTTTGCAGGGCGCAAGGGTGATTTTCGAGTTTTGGTGTGTTTGAGACGTTCACCACCGAATCCGTCCATGTCTAATGACAGAGGTGGTACGCTTTCGAGCCGGCCGCCTGCTGTTGGACTATTCAGAGTTGATGTTCTTCGATGCCGCAATTTGGACTCTGGAACTTCGCGAGGTGTTTGTGGTCTTGAATTATCCATGCTAAAGCTGCCGGTTCGAGACAAGGGCGGTACGGCTTGACCACGGGGGGATGTTGGTACACATAAATCTGCAAGATCGTCTTGGTCATGACGCAGCTTAACGTCTTCTGTAAACAAGGACAGTATGGAAAACATAGAGGACATGGGCGCTCCATTTTTCACTTCAGTGAGAAGCTGATAGCCCTGTCGGTGGCCTTCTTGTGCAGAGCCGTCGGGCGATTCACCTCCCATTTCGTCTTCCGAATCAGATTCTGCACGATTTGACTTGACAAAAATTTGGACCAAACCATCTACCACGAGACAAAAGCCTTTCTCTTCCTCGAGTAAAATGGTCTCTCCAGCCACCAATCGGCGAGTCTGCATGGTTCGCGTGAGCTCATGAAAGACTGGGCGCTCCAAATAGCCGAAGACCTTGATAGCACTCAGGAATTCATCAAGATAGTTAGACAAGCCCCTCTTCGAGTCGCTTTCGGCACTATCTGGAAAAACTTCGACCTGGGGTTCCTCACGTTGGGGTTCAGGGGGCAGTCTTGCGTACATGGTCATGTACCGGTACCTCACGAAGTAGCTGATGGTGGACACGGCGAAAACCACAACAAGCATCCTGAGAATTTATTCAGCAAAAACCATGGACAGCCCCGGGTGACATACAACGTGGTGAAGTTCATGGTGAAAGTCAAGCTCATGGAGAAGAGCGTGAAGAGCCATGCCGGCAAGGTGTAACTGGTCCAGTACAGAACGGAGGGCAACACGCTGAAGATAGAGAGAATGACACGACCAAGCAGGCCAAAGCTGGACGCAGAAGGTGAATCGGCGACCTTGACACCCATGACCGGCGTAGAGAGAACCTTTGCTGCACTGGAGACAGCTGCTTTGGAGACTTCTGCGAGTGATTGAGAGGCGGCAGTTGCCGAGGCTGCCATGGAGGACATGGTGGGCGACGGGGATGTATTTATGGATGTGTCCTGGATGGGGAGATATCACGAACAGAGGTCTGGGGCGGTGCTAATATGATCCCGTGGAGACTGGAGCTGCATGGCGAAATGCTGATAGGGCACGTTGGAACATTCGGGAACGCAATTGAGAGATTGGGACAAGAAGGGTGGGCATCATGTGGGGTGGGTGCCAACTTGGTTGTGAAGTCAGACTACCCGCGCCCGTGCGCCGGCTAGCGCCGCCGTCGCGAAGTCCATCGCGGTCGGCTGGGCTGGCAGCTCTCGCACGCGCCGGAGCTTTGTGTATGTGTTGTATACCTCACCAATTGCGCCGCCATGCCGCCCTTCAAGGATGACCAGATCATCGTCAGTCTCATATGCGCTGCTGATCACTCGCCGCATGCGCTAACGCCCTGCAGATTATTTCGCCCGGCTCCGAGACGACTGTCGCGCAGCTGGGCCTGCCCGAGTCCTTCACCCCTGCGCGCCTCCGCCTGAGGTCGCGCATGTTCCCCGCTGAGAAAGAGGGCGAGTTTGAACCATATAAGATCCGGAGACGGCAGGATCGCCCAGCGGCAGAGAACGGCGAAGCCAAGGACGGGCCACAAGAAGATAGCAAACCCGCTGAGGGTGAAGAGGAGGTCATATGGGATGAGGACCGTGTCTCAGAGGAAGGCGCCATATGGCCCATTCAGCAGGGAAGGATTGTTGACTGGCCATGCTTCTTCGCTCTCATCACCCACGTCTACAACTCACTAAACCCGCCCTTTCACACTCCGATCCTCCTCATTGCCCAGCCAGCATGGACACCGCGAGAGCACGAGAAACTCACACAGTTCTTCTTTGAGAAATTCAAGGTCCCCGCTTTCGGCTTGATGGATGCAGCACTGGCGACAGCCTGGGCATATGGTGTGCACACAGCGACTGTCATCGATGTCGGCAAAGACAAGGCAGACGTGACTGCTGTCAGCGAGTTCATCCCGCATACACAGGGTAGAGTCATCTCACTACCAGGATGTGGAGGTGAAGCCTTTACTGAAGGCCTTCTCGCCAAGCTGAGGCCCAAAGGCTTCAACCGCGACATGTGCGAACAGCTCAAGAGGTCGCCGATATGCGAGCTTCTTCCTCCAGGAGTCCCACTGCCAGGATCAAAAGATGCGCCTGTCGCTGACGGTGTGAGCAACCCTGCGGCAGCAGCTTCCACAGGAGCACCGGGATCCGGCGCTGCAGCTGCAGCTGCAATCGGAAACGTGCCACGGGGTCCTGGCATAGATACTGAGGTTGGGGAAGAAGGAACTGGTGAGGATGAGGGAGTTCTAGACGTCGCAAGCATTGTGGCTGGTGGCAAGATGTCAGAGTACCTTGCCAAGAAAGAGAAGGAGAAGCAAGAAAAGGCCAATGCTAAAAAGAAGGGCGCTCCAGCCCCCCAAGCAAACAAGCCTGTAAAGCTACCCAACTCCAAGCTCGAAAAAGCTACATTCCTGTATGAGGATCATGCGCTCCTGGATACCCTGAAGAACATGAATCTGAACAACCAAGAGATGGCTGATGCGAAGGGGGCGTTGGATGAAGGTCCCAGCAGGAAACCAAATGAAAACGAGGAGGAGGGCGAGCCTGCTGATACGACCGAAGCAAACGGCACCAACGAAGCCAACAACATAAACAAGAAGACAGAATCAATAAGACGTGAAATAGAAGTTGGCAATGAGCGATTCATGGCAGATGGAAACGGTACACTGGAAAAGATTGCAGATGCTGTATACAGGGTAATCTCATCCATTGACGAGGTTGGCAAACGTAGCGATCTTTGGGATCAGCTGATTGTCTGCGGCAATGGGGCTAAACTACGAGGTAAGTTATACTATCTACACACAAACCTATTCTGTAGCCTACTAACACGAACTCAGGTTTTAGAGAATCTCTCATACAGACTATCCAGGCCAAGTATCTGGTGTCGCCCTCATCTGCCACCATCTTCACATCTGAGATCCCATCCAATGTCTCAACACCTGCGGGTACTGGAACCAACACGCCACAACCCCAACTTGGCCCACATGGTAACTCTCAAGTTAACCCACTTCTATTAGCAGCTACCACGGCTCAGACACAACACATGATGCCCCATGGAGGCATGCCCGGCATGTCACACAACTTGCACTCTTCACATGGCCAAACGCCCACGTCTGTTAAGTTTGTCAAGCCCCCGGAGTACTTCCCTGAATTCAAAGAGGTTGGCTTCGACGAGTCAACCTTCTTGGGCGCTCAGGTCGCGGCCAAAGTCATTTTTGTAGTCGACCAAGGTCAAAGTAAGGGCTACATGACGCGCCCAGACTACAATGATCAAGGCCCACAAGCCATTCATGACTACAGCCTATAATCATAACCACGTGCATCCTGTTCTGGATAGCGGCTCTTCCTTGGCAGGCAAATATGGGCAGGCTGTGTTCCGCTTTCGCAGAGAAAGCTACCATGGAGTTTTCAGGCGTGGTGTAAATGGGGAATATCCTGGCGTTGCTTCTACCTGGCCAAAACAAAAAGAAATTTATGGATGTGTGTGTGCAGATGTGGAAGGACTATTGGAAAGCCCATAGGTGATGGCCGCAGCGATAGGCTACCGGCGCATTGCGGAAGTGTTTAGTCCAAGAAACATGTAAACTTCCTTTTTGTGTGGCTCCCATCCATCGTTTCACCCTGTCATATTGCGGGGTTGTGATTGACCATGTATGAGGAAGCGAGAGCTGAGCACTAAGCCCCTTTCACGATTTACTTTTCCTGAATGTAATGGTGGTGGTGAATTGCTGATCGGAGGACGCCGATGACCCCAGAAGTACCTAGTGACGCCCCGGTTCGGCTCCACGTGGTAAACATTAGCGACCCCCCGCTAAACCGCTTATAACCCGTCATCCCTTCTCAGGAACTGATAAAGGACGCCGGTTGCTCCTCTTCAATTCTGTACACTTCCATTGCTGAGATTTGAGTGTATATAAAGTACACTCCATGACCCTTTCTCTACACTTGTATCACAATTAGACTTTTTTTTCTCTTTCTCGGTGAGCAAGCAGAACGATTAGAACACTTAGCCCGCGGATTTGCCGGTATCTTGGTCCGAAACTCTGTCGACTTCAGTGGCAAGAGCGGTGTATTTATCTCAATTCCAAATAGAGTTTCTGGGGTTTACATAAAAGCAGCAAGAGGAACAAGAGTTGTACTGGGAATTTTCAAGAAAAAATGGCAGCATCAACACCCATACCACACACAATCTACTTTGGTCCTTTCGTCCACAGCATATCCCTCAGCACGCTAGAAATCGAGCCCAATGGCGCCATCGGTGTGGACTCCCACGGCATCATCCGCTTCGTGAATCGCAACGTGGAGTCTTTGGCCTCCCTTCTCTCTTGTCTGGACACTGCCTGGACAGACGCCAAGGTCGTCTCGATCAGCGAAACCAGCAACGGATTCTTCTTCCCAGGCTTCATCGATACTCATGTCCACGCGCCCCAGCACCCGAATACCGGACTTTTCGGCAAGACCACACTCCTGGATTGGTTGCAAAAGTACACATTCCCTACTGAGTCCTCCTTCTCTGATGTCAAACGTGCATACCGCGTGTACACAAACTTCGTCTCAAGAACACTCTCGCATGGCACAACCACAGCTGCATACTACGCCACCATCCACGTCCCTGCCACCAACACCCTCGCCGACATATGTCTGGAGCGCGGCCAGCGCGCCCTCATAGGCCGCGTTTGCATGAACAGCGACCTAAGCCCAGAATACTACCGCGACTCCAGCGCAGAACAAAGCTACCTAGACTCCAAATCCAGCATCGACTACATCCGCTCCATCGACCCAAAAGGCACCATCGTAAAGCCAATCATAACCCCGCGCTTCGCCCCCTCCTGCACCCCCGACTGTCTCAGCGCCATAGGCCGCCTAGCCCAAGAAACAGACGCCCACATCCAAACCCACATTTCCGAAAACAAGGGCGAAATCGACCTCGTCAAGAGCTTATTTCCTGATTCAAAGAGTTATGCGGATGTCTACGACTCCCACGGTCTCCTCACCGATAAAACAATCCTAGCACATTGCGTCCATCTTACCCCCGAGGAACGCCGCTTGATCCTCGCCCGGAAAAGTAAGATTAGCCATTGTCCTGCGTCGAATACAGCTATTACATCCGGCTGTGCGCCCATCCGCTCGTTGCTAGATGAGGGCCATACGATTGGCCTGGGCACAGACATATCCGGCGGATTTTCGCCTTCCATCCTAGAAAATGTGAGGCAGGCGATTTGGGTATCGCGACACCTGTGCATCCAGACGGATTCGGATGCCGTTAAGCTATCTACGGAGGAAGCCTTGTATCTCGCTACGCGCGGCGGTGCTGCAGTGGTAGGGTTGCAGGATATAGTTGGCGGGTTTGAAGTCGGGAAGGAGTGGGATGCGCAGATGATTAATCTGGGGGCTGTGGGCGAGTTTGGGAGCGAGACGGGTGCGTTTGAGGAGGGGCCAGTGGATGTGTTTGGGTGGGAGAGTTGGCAGGATAGGGTGGAGAAGTGGGTGTATAGTGGGGATGATAGGAATACGGTTGCGGTTTGGGTAAAGGGGCGGTTGGTGCATTGTACGGACAGGTATCCGTATCGGAAAGAGGTTGGGTATGCGCCGTCTAAGGGGTGTACGCCCTGAGCTGTAGTCTGGGTTTTTGGTGTAAGAAAATGTAAATGGGAAAGTATTTCTAGCGGTGTATGTTGAGAATAGAAGGCCTAAGACTTGAGTATAAACTTTCTGTTCGAAATTTTCGTCTAGTTGCGAAGCATCTTTCTAAAATTTCATTCTGGTAAATTAAGGAAAAGCTTGCTATTTATATCGGAGGAGATAGTCCACTACGCTGTATACGAGAAATATAAAAATGGTTGAAACTATAGCTTTTGCTGCGAAGCGTACACCTTTTTGATCAAGTTCCAAAGCTTTCCTTGCCCAATATTCTAAATCTCTCCGCTCATGTTCTGAGGAACTTTCAGGAACTTGATTGAGGAGATGAGCTACCAGTTCCTCTGGTGAGATATCATAATCGATAGTAATGTTGTCACCATCGCTTGCGATTCCACATAATGCGTACACCTTGTCGAGAATATTTGACGCTTTCCAGACTCTGTAGTAACAGAGCAGTTCAGAGAGACTTTTTTGTTCTTTACTCAGGTGGGTTAAGTTCCGTGTAGCCATCAGAATGAAGGCTGGTGTGCCACCAACATTGATTTTGTCTTCCAAGTACTTCGGAAGTGAAAAGGTTACATAGTCTGTAACACTTCTTAAGGCTTGCCATTCAAAACTCTTCGACCCGCAGTACACTGAAATGTCTTTGGCAACCATAGTTTCTTGTACGATCCAGATTCTCGTCCAGTAGTCCCTAGAAAGAAGTTGATACACAGCGCACGTTGTTATCTCGTCCCAGACCAATGGCCATTTGTACCTATGCATGCCGACTGTCGTGTTTAGAGCCATTGCATGTGTGCTAGTCACTATGTCCATAGCCATGTCGCTTGTCTGGTCTCGACTGGCTTCACCGAGCCAGATCGTCACTTTCTCGGCAGTGCTATAGATCCGTCGCATCATTTGAACTTGATGATTCTTTTCTAGTGTATTGTTTTGGTCGATACAAATAGCATCAATCCAATAGAATCCGAATTGCTTCTGTAGACACATCTGCTCTAGGAATATCCACAGATTGCGGGAAACCGGAAAGTTATATCCATTGAGACGTAGTTGACGAGTATCATACACTGACCCCCAAGTGTAAGACAGTGCTTTGTAAGCTGGATAGCTCTTGTCGAATGAATAGGATCGAAGACTGCACTTAATCAGAGAGGACTGCGTGCTTGGATGCAATTCAAGGAGTCTGAACTGAGCCGTTGAGGTATCATGGCTAAGCGGCGCCGTGGTGTAGGGGCTTTTCATGACTGAGAATACTGCGAACAGCTGGTATGGCGCGATTGAGGTGGATGTATTAAGTCAATAAGCGTTGAGCTGTAGCCTTGCAAGGACTGTGGGTCTGCTCGATATCATAGCGTGCTGTTGCTTCACATGACACAATATGGATTTCGAAATGAACAATAGCTAAGGTGCTTTTATCGAGGAGCGATTAGGAAACAGGCATGAACGAGGTAGTTTATATGACAGCGCACTTCTTGGCAAAGTAGGCAGGTGCATGCAGCAACAAGGCATTGCGGAGGTAGGCGTCTGAAACCTACTTTCTCAACACCACTAGATGATACCAATCATGTTGCCTGGAGGCCCCAAGACAGATTGGTGGCGTATTCGGCTGTAACAGTGAAGGCGAGAATGGTCCATTCAGCTGGATCCACGAGGAAATGCGGGGCTACGTATGCTCTTACTACCTGCGTGAAGAGCTATTAGCCACCCAATACCATGTTACCCACGTCTGGCGTACGACTGTATGGTGCGGCTGAACAAAAAAATAGAATCACCAAATACATACTCATTCCAGCTATCATGATAACATGCTTTTTGCAGGGGTTATCGTTTTAAATGACACTATGCTTAATGCTGAGTTGTCAGCTCAAGATTATATGTGTATTTGCTCATATGGCGACCGAATTACAGAACAAAAAAAGCCATTAAGAAAGGTAGAGATTACATATATCAGCGCGAGGTTGCTCGAAAACCTCGCCGTCCATCGCGCCATACATGAAGCAATCACCAACCATTTGGAAAGCGTCAAGCGAATGACTAGCAGTGTGACGAGCAAGATCTTTGCCTCCATCCTCGCTTCCCGAAACAAGAATTGTCCAATTGTCGTCGTAAATAGATACAGGTAAGCCCTTTCGGACCATGAACGGAACGTTGCTACCCTTAAAGACATAGATGCTGTCACCCTCGGTAGTTGTCTTTGGCCCGAGACCCATGTAACCAGAGCTAGTGAGGAAGAAGCGCCGAGAAGTTGTTGCGTTTTTGAGAGCGTGGTGAATTGCTGAAATGCCTTCGTCAAGATCGCGCTTGCTAAATGCTGCAGAACGGCTGAATGTATCACGGGATATGCAGCGAGACCACATGCTCCACGCCCTGAAAGCATCATAGTCTTCTGGTATCGCGCGCCGATAAGACTCTTGCTCCCAGTAAGTATCTGGGTCTGTGCTAGTACGTACAACATCTCCGATGAGTGTACGCCAGAAAGCGTTTTCGTAGGTCCCACCGCTAGGGTATGTGTGATTTGATTGCTCGAGCAATTTGGTGAGCAGATTCCAAGATTTTATGACGGCACATGTGTCGCTGATTTGCGTATGTCGACTGATTTCCCCAACTGTCGTCACACTATCAACGTACACTGCCTCAACATCGAGGAGCTGGTTTATCGGATGGAAGCGAACAGTTCCAATTCGAGATGCAGACGCTTTATAGATGCATAAAGAGTTTACTCTTTCGATCTCGACTGGAAGACATGGAAGCGACCAGTCCATGACCCAAGAAGGGATGCCGTTCAGCCGCTTCCTGTTGAGGACAGCCTCAAGATCGCCCGCAAGAACTGACAACGACCCGGCTCGTTGTATGTTACTCACAGTTGTACTTGTGAAAGTTGCAGCAGTATCAGAAATATAGTCAGGTAACAGTGGTGGAAGATCTTGCCAGTTGGTAGTCAGGCCAAGGAGGGCAAAGACCTTGTCCCGCTTCTCAGTCGCTTGTAGTGGTCTGAATCTCCACAGCAGCTGCAATATTGTTCCACTATGTGAGCGAGCGAGATATTGAAGTCTGATATCCTCTATGCGAAGCACAAAATCACTGAACCGATCCAGGATATCTTGTCCCTGGAGAGTGCCACCCAAGTCTAGACATAACGTGTGACGCTGTTTAATGTGATTGGTAGCAGCTTTGGCAAACATTGACCAGGGGGCTGACAGCACTCCGTACCGAATGGTAGCTTTGCGAGACAATACAGTTTCTTGAATGATCCAAACACGTTGCCACTGTTGCTATCAGCTTATGCCATGAAGAAAAGAAAGAGAGATGGACCCAAGATCTACTCATCAGCCTTGCAAGACCTGCCCAGACTCTTGAAGATCTTGAACCACGGACGTGAGCTCTTGCGAGCACCAAGCCATGCCAGTCGCTAGTAACGCCATGTTCGTGTAACGCAAAAGTCTTCTCTAGGTTTAAAGCATTAAGCAAAGGATATGAAGTGCCTTCCGCATAGTCCTGTAACAAGCAAAGGGCTCCAAAGACATCGGGGCCAGTGCTGTCATCGTCAACGCGAGGGTGTCCCATCAGCTTTGTATTCATATTGGATGCACTAGAGCGCTTAAAATCGAGCAAATATACGTTACGCAGCTCATCATCGTCTGTATCGCCTGTCCATATTGGTTCTAGGGGCAATTTTCTGGATCTGGAGCTTGTCGAAGCACTGATCTGTCTCTGGACAGGATATCTTCTCAAAAGATCGGTACCGACATCCTCATTAGCAGCAGGCTCGCCCAGCCAAATCATGGTTTCTTTGCTATTACGGTATATTTCACCCATCAAACCAACTTGCTGTGTGCGCTCTAAAATATCCTCTTGATTGATGCAAAGCGCATCGGCCCAGAGTAATATGGGATGGTCATATTGTCGTAGTGTGCGAAGGGCGGTAAACAGGTTCTCAGAAATGGAGATGGATTTGTCGTTGCATCTTATTAAGCGGTTCGGGACCACCTCTCCATGTCCCCACGTGTAGGAAATGGTAATATAGCGGTTTTGAGCCTTGGCTATGGAATAAGACTGAAGCTGTGCATTGATGTCGTCCTCCTGGCGCCCGGGCAGCAAGCGCAGGAGACGAATGGTAGGCGGATCAGTAGGTAGTGGGGTGTAGAAATCGTGATCATCACTTTTCTTGTTGAATACATGGGTAAGTTTCGAGATGATTCGACGAGCCATGGTAATGGGAAAGACGGGGGTGTGTTGCTCGGTTGACATGCTGATTTTAGGGGCTGGTCTGTCACGTGTTGGGGCTGGAACGCGGAGTTGCAGTCACGTCAAGTCCGCAACAGGTAACGCCAGTACCAACCATTCACGCATTTGCGATAACATGCCTCGACGTCAGTAGAATCAGTCCGTCATACTGTCGATACCACTCGGAATCCGATAGAGAGCAATGCCACGCATCCAGTGATACATCAGACGATGGCCACATGACGTCAGCAGCGCACGATCCCGAAACGGCACACCTCATTGCCTGCCCTACCTGCGGTCAACACGTCTTTGGCTTTGCCATCGTCTGCGGCTTGGGCGCTATGTAGTACATTTTGCCTTTGCTCGACAAACTTACATCTGCTGCTCAAATAAGTCGCTCTGTGCTGCATCGGGAAGCGCCGGAGGGATGGCAGCCTGCACTAAAAGCCCCGGGGGTGGCCAAAGAGCGTGAACGGGTAGCGCCCGCATGACAAGCTATCGGGTCATCTAACCCGTGCCTAGCGGTGTGGGAAGTGGAAAAGAAAGCGATCAAATAAAGCCCTGTGGGCGTCACTAGCCAGCCGCATGGGCGATCGTCATGGCTTTGTGCTTTAAAGTCCGTGTGTCTGGCACGTTGAGGCCTTTGCCTCGAATTTTATTTCCCCTTCCATTGCCCAAAACATGCGACCGGATAGATTCCTCCAAACTACAGTCGGTCTTCTAGCAACAACACACCTAGCGCTGGGCTCCACTAGCAGCGAGCAAGACCAATTCAAGCATGTGACATGGGATGACGACAACTCTGTGATCTCAACACATGCTCTGGACCAAGGCCACTACCAATCCCGCTTGACGCTCGCAAACGGCTATTTTGGTATCAATGTCGCTTCCGCGGGGCCCTTTTTTGAAGTCGACGAACCAGTCGATGGCGATGTCATAAGCGGATGGCCGCTTTTCAGTCGACGACAGGCTTTCTCTACTATAGCGGGCTTCTGGAACAGCCAGCCACGGACCGTTGGATCCAATTACCCATGGCTCTATCAGTACGGTTGGGAGAGCTTTATTGCTGGTATCCCACATTGGAGCGGCCTTATAGTTGAAGCAAATGGCGAGTTCCTGAATGCATCCGTTAACCCCGATCATATCTCTGATTTCGTCTCAAGTCTGGATGTAAAGGCTGGCATTGCGAATTGGCGGTACAACTGGAAACCGGGTGGCCGGGGTGATGGAACCATCGATGTCAACTATCAGCTTTTTGTTCACAAGCTCTACATCAACAAGGCAGCAGTCAAACTGCGACTTACATCCACTCGAGACGATAACGTGACTGTATACGATATTCTAGATGGGGATGCCGCCGTGCGCTCGGATTTTGTTCAGAAGAAATTTGAGAAAGACACCCCGACTATCTGGTCCGCCGTAAGCCCGGGAAATATCACAAATGTTACCGCATACGTATATTCGACTTTGGGTGCTAGTGACTGGGTCGACCTCAGTGCACGTAGCGAAGTAGTAGATGGCGTCTTTGGTAGTGGCAACAAGTCAACTATCGCGCAGTCTGTACCAGTCGAACTAACCGCATTTCGACCAACCGAAGTGACCAAATTTATCGGGGTCGCTTCAACCGATGCGTTCCCTGATCCACAAACTGTGGCTCGGGAGGCTTCGATATCGGGCGCAAAAGAAGGTTACTACAAGCTTCTACAATCCCATATTAGAGAATGGGAATCCATCTTGACGCCAGACGCTGTTGACGACTACCACCTACCGAACGGATCTCTTCCCGATGATCCAGATGTACAGCAACTGCACATCCTAGCCCGTACAAACCCTTTCTACCTCCTTTCGAACATGGTTGGACCAAACGCTGTGGCTGCAGCAGGAAACAACACGAAACTCGACATCTACAGCATCCCAGTTTGCGGTTTTGGCTCTGACTGTTACGGAGGTATGATCTTTTGGGATGCAACGGTCTGGATGGCTCCAGGAATCCAAGTATCGCATCCTCAACATGCGCAAAATGTTATCAAATACCATGTGGAGCATTTTGAACAAGCGCAGCGAAATGTCCAAACAGCCTTCACCTCAAGCAAGAACCAAACAAGTCGCTTCACTCCCGGAGGTGCAGTGTATCCTTGGACCAGTGCAAGGTTTGGAAACTGTACAGGCACTGGGGCCTGCTTTGACTACGAATACCATCTTAACGGTGACATGAGTCTGGCCTTCAACAATCATCTCATCATCACTGGTGATGGCGAATACTTTAACGACACCTTGTTACCGATATCGAACTCGATTGCACACTTTTTTGGCCAAGTCCTGGATTTCAACGAAACTTCTGGAAACTGGGAGCTATGGAATGCGACTGATCCGGACGAGTATGCCAACCAAGTCAACAATGTGGGATTTACTACTGCCTTGATCCAGAAACATTTCCTCGAAACGAACGAATTCAACTCTTGGTTTGCGCGTAGTCAAAATGCTAGCTGGAATGAGAAAGCCGCAAAGATGCGACTTCCGGTCAACGACAACACTGGAATCATTGTAGAATACACCGGTATGAACGGGTCGGTAGCAGTCAAGCAAGCAGATGTGGTCCTCATAGACGATCTGTTACACTACCCAAATCCCTACAGCTTGACAAACCTAGACTTTTACGCAGCGAAACAATCCCTCGATGGCCCCGCAATGACATATTCCTCCTTCGCTGTCGTGGCCAATGAAGTTTCTCCCTCTGGATGTTCAAGCTTTACCTACCACGTCTACTCGTCTTCGCCCTACCTTCGCGCACCGTGGTATCAGTATTCTGAACAGTTGATCGACAATGTGGAAGAGAATGGAGGAACACATCCTGCATTCCCTTTCCTGACCGGTATGGGTGGAACGAACCGAGTAGCAATCTTTGGCTACCTTGGCCTAGGGTTATACTACGACAGGCTGGACATCGATCCTTCCCTGCCACCACAAATCCCATACCTAAATTACCGCACCTTCTACTGGATGGGCCACGGCATCAACGCCACTTCAAACTCAACACATACAACATTAGCGCGCTTGCCACGAGACAAATACTCGCTCCCTTCAGTAAACGCAACTTACTTTGACAAGCCCATCCCCGTTACAGTCGGTACCCGCAGCGGACGCAACGTCACCTGGCACGAGCTCGGCCAAGAACCACTTGTGGTACGCAACCGACCCATGGGCGAGGTTCTCACCGTAAGCGGAAACATCCTCCAATGCAAGTCTCTGCTTCGCCCCCCTCAACGCAACAAACCAGGCCAATTCCCCATCGCCGCAATCGACGGCGCCGCGAGTACAAAATGGCAACCTGAGTACGCAAACATCACCAGCTACCTTACCGTCGACCTCGGAGACTCGGCCTTCTACCCCATCAGCGAGATCGTAATGGACTGGGCGAACCAGCCACCTGCGTATTTCGAAATTTACTTTTCAAACTCTTCGCTTCCGCCATTTTCGGCGCAGCTGACTGAAGATGTGAGGAGAGTGATAGCTGGTAGTGTGGATATCAGTGCACCGTGGGATCCAGTCACGGCGTACGAAATTAGGCCGTATGTTGGCAATCAGACGAATATTACGCTAACGGAGAGTGTGTGGAGTGGGAGGTATGCGCATTTGGGTGTGAGGGGAAATCAGTTTAAGGAGGATGCGACGGATGGACCGACGGTTGCGGAGTGGAGTTTGGTCCGTGAGAAGTTTTGAGTTGGTTTGACAGAAAGTTTGGTATATAGAACTTTTCGGGTAGATCTGCGTAGAACGTTTAAAATCGTTTGTATGATAGGATAAAGAGATGGTCTGGCGTTGGATTTAGACATGTAAGGGTTTATCTTTGTCAATAGTTGAATTTCGCGGTGTGAAGTCTCTTTCCTACGTTCGTTTTCTAGGATAGCAAAACGTATCGCTATATCATGAGCTATACGGCATCTCACGACCAACGATGTTCATAAAGTGAATGAACACTATAAAACAGGGCATGAATTCGAAACAAGAACGTTGGTCGTACTATCTCTCGACAAGAAGTTTTTTGATGTTAGATTTCTTATTCACTTTATTTCGTAATGACAAAGCTAGTACAAAACCCAGCCCCAATAGTCTCTACCTCACCAGGAACCTCAATCTCGTTCCAAAACCCGCTAACCATATCATTTTTGATCTCCTGCTTGAGATCCTTCAAGTCACCACAGTTCCCATGTTTTCCCCATCCCCACGATATCAATCTACCATCTCTGGTTACGGCGAGCACATGATCTGAGCCCACTGCGATTTTATTCAGGAGTGGCAGATCTGGTGGAAGCAATTTCCACATGTTCTCTTTACCCCACGCGGTGAGTGTCCCGTCGTTGAACAAGACAAAGATGGCATGCCATGTAGCGCCGATATCTTTCCAACCCTTGATGTGTTTCGGCATGCTGGAAATGATATTGAACTTGTCTTTGCCAAGTAGAAAGTGTTCTCCAGAGGACGATTCACCAACGAGGTACGTAAAATCTTTACCGCAGACCCCTTTGGTGGGTCTAAATGGTATGTCGTTAATCTTTGTCGGAGTTGTAACTTTGCCAGTAAGGATACCGCCAAGTTGACTTAGGCGAGCCTTTCCCCAGCCATAGACTGAGCCATCGTCGAGAACCGTTACATAGTGCCAAACACCTGCAGAAAAGTCCACAATTGCACCAGGAAACGATGTAGTAATGCGGTTCGATGTCGAAGGACCGGCCTGCTCTTCACGACCGAGTTCTCCCCATTGGCCAGTACCCTCAGTGTAGATGTAGCTCTCCCCAGAATCGCTTCTCGTGACATATGCAGAAGATTCGCAAGTGGCTGCAATCAAAGATGCATTTTCATATACTCTTTTGAAAACTGGGATTTGAGGTTCCTTTCCCAAAGAACCTAACTGGCCCTTGCGATTGTCGCCAACTCCATAAACGACTCCGTCTTTGCATAAGATCAAAGTATGGTTGTCACCTCCTCGTATTGCAGAAACATCCCAAAGAGGTAGCGTATCAGTAACTCTGGTTGGTACGTCAACAATTTCCGCAGCAGGTAACCCGAGTTGTCCCTCCCCATTGCTGCCAAATGCATACATCTGGTAAGGCATATTGCAAGACTGCGAGGTAGGATATCAGGTCAGCTGGTGTGATTATCAATTGAAGATGAAAACGTCCAACTTCATTGCTCCAGAAATATCAGCCCCATTAAATGCTGTTTCTGGAACCTCTCAAGTCACGCACCGTGGCAAAGAAAGTCTCGAGTGGGTTGCGCACAAGGCTTCAATAGCACGCTAGCCACTGAGAACGCTAGTCGCTTACAGGGATCGGGGCGCGCACGGACGCCCACTGAATATTCGCTGCCGGCGTAGACGAACTTCAAACTCCACGACGACCGCAAAACCGACGACGCCCACCCAATACTAACCGCACGCACATCCCACAGTCGCCCAACATGGCCTCCCAGAGTGTGCAATGCTTCGGCAAGAAGAAGACTGCGACTGGTACGATGATGCTCCTCCACGCCACGGAGCGTGTTTTGAAAGAAGTCGCACAATGGCTAACATGATCACGAACAGCTGTCGCCCACTGCAAGGTACACACGCACTGCCTATCGATCGAATGCGCAAAAATCACGAACAATATACTTACGATGAATATATAGGCCGGAAAGGGTCTCGTCAAGGTTAACGGAAAGCCTCTTTCCCTTATCCAGCCCGAGGTTCTGCGATTCAAGGTCTACGAGCCCATCCTGATCCTCGGTGTTGACAAGTTCGGTACGCACACACACATATGCATACACACACGCGTACTGCAAAGAAGCATTTAGACGCGGGAGATGTACGAGGAACAATGGAAGCTAACTGTTGCTGGTAGCCGATGTCGACATCCGCGTTCGCGTCTCTGGTGGTGGTCACACCTCGCAAGTCTACGCCATCCGCCAAGCCATTGCCAAATCTATCATCGCCTACTACCAAAAGTACGTCGACGAGCACTCCAAGAACCAGCTCAAGCAGGCCCTCATTCAGTACGACCGCACACTGCTCGTTGCCGACAACAGGCGGTGCGAGCCCAAGAAGTTCGGTGGTCCAGGTGCCCGCGCCAGGTACCAGAAGTCTTACCGTTAAGCGGTTTTTTTGGGCTTACTGGCGCGAGGAGGAGGAGAAAGAGAGGACAAGGGGTGTATGGGAGCGAGCATGGAGCGGTGTTCATCCTGGGCTTTTTCATGGGGTCTTCTACTGTCTGCTATCTACTCCTCAAGGACGAGGTTACGTGACATGGCGCGCAACGGCTGCCTGATACGATCCCGCGGCTTGTGACGATAAAAATGAATACATTGGTTGCAAGAACACGGAAAGCAAAGAAAAGCCCATGGAGTGAGGAGTAACACAACACATACACATACACATATGCCGTGAAACAGTAGGGACAAGTGAATGCCAACACCCAAATCAATCGATCAGGAATCTGGTAAATCTACAGTGAACTAAAATGTATGCGACACAAGGGTGTAATGTTTCCATCTCCAACACCAACGCTTTCCATGCAAGAAACCCCAACACACCACCAATGTGACATTCCCTTTTCTAGTCCTGTTTCCGCCCCAATTCAGAATGACTGTAGACTATTATTCGTATACCCGTAGATGTAGAGAGGCGAAGGTTTCTAGCCGTCGCTGCCACTGCTCCTAAACGCAGCGCATAACGCAGCGTACTGGTGGGTAAGGTCGAGGACGTGTTGGGGTAGTGACGTTCCTTGGACGATGCTGCGGATCTTGACGGCGCCTTCTTCTTCGATGAGTTTGCGGATCGTGTAGAGAAGGGCTGGCGAGAACTTTCATACTAGTTAGTGACTGGAACCTTGAGGGTTTAGAGATAAAAAAATACATACCTCAGAGTACCAGCGGTACTGCCAGGTGATGAGACGAATCAGCGCTGCCGTGACATCTCTGACTTGCTTCCTTTCCTCGCCCAACTTGAGTACGCCCTTCATTGCCTTGGGAGAGAACTTGATCTGCAGACAGTTCTCGTATGCTTCTACAGCCTCCTCGGTGTGATGCAACCTCTCCGCCAATTCGCCCAGGATCTCCCACTCTTCGCTGCTCTTCTTGTACAGCAACTGCTGCTGGCGGTACTGCGCCATTTCTGTGCGCCATATTGTGTATACGCGCAAGTCCTCGTATAGTACCATGAAGAGGTTGTCAAGCCAGCGTTCGCACAAGCGCTTGTTCTGGAAGTGTGTATAGTTTGGTTGGGAAGGGTTGCCGTTCTGGTTGTCGTGTAGATGAGGGTCTTCACTGCCAGCCTTTACAACTTCAGAGGCAACCGTATGGCCGGGCTTTTCCAGCTCAGTTTCTGTACCAGCAACTGAGCCCTCGCCGTTCTGGGCATTGCTTGCATCTGTGGACGGACGTTCCCGGACTTCGCCATGCTCACTACCGTTGGCTTGTTGGGCCTGTGAATTAGGAGATGGAGCCCGGAGAGCTGTTGTGCTTGCACTGCGAGAGTGCGGTTGCTGGACAGTCTTCTCGTGGCGATATTCCTCTTCCATTACGAAGACTTGACTTCTTATCTTTAGGAGTTGATCCCAGCCGATCTTCTTTGTGATTTCTGTGAGCAGGATGTATGCTTTCAGGAAGGTACCCTTGAATCCGGCTGCGTGTAGTTTTCTCAGGGTTGGATGTACGAGCTCCATGTCGTCAACATTGGAATCTTCTATCTCATCGCACATTGCTTCGGGCATGATGGGCAAAAAGACCCTCTGGGGCTCTGGCATCCGCGGGGCATCCTTGTCCTGATACGTGAACATTGGACATGAGTTGAGTGTTAGGAGCGCAAGATCCCACTGCTCGAGGCTGACATATATCTCCGCCAAGCGCGCCCATGTGCCAAACTCGCTAGGCGCGGAGACGACACTCCTCTTTGCGATTTCCAGTGCGAGATCACCACGGCCCTTCTTGTTGCAAAAATCTGCTTGGCAGTCCAGTAATGAGTAGTCCATGGGCAACTCTTGAATAGCACCGTGCAACAGTTGTACAGCTTTGACCTCCTCGTCTGCTTCGATGTAGACGCGGGCGAGGAGCGATGAGATCTCTGGATCACGAGTACGCAGTTTTTCGAAGAGATTGATGCCCGAAGTGTATCTGCCGGTTGTGTGAATGTAGTTGAGCAGACCTGTCGTCAAGTGATTTGAGACGAGATTGGGAACTTGAATCTCAGGGTCGGATCCGAGTTGCCAGCCTTGATGGTATTAGCCAAATTTCTTCCATATCCAGTGTGTGGCCCACCATTGAAGAAGAGACGTTCTGCAGCATCCAGAAACCTATGTTCGCTCTCTGTGCTTGTGATTGGATTGAATCTTCGTACACCAACAATCTTCTTGATAGTATCGCCCGAACCATCGTCGGCGTACGAGTATGCGCGCAAGACACTACAGAGATAGGTCTCTAACCAGAGTTCATCGGTGGCTACTCGTTTGTCGCCGCGCTCGTCAATGCAGTAGCTTTCGACTGTTCCTGGGATATAGACTTGAACGCGCATATCGAGCCGCGAAAAGGCATTGTAGCAGCTGCCTTGGTCAGCCAATGACTGCGCCAGGACTTGGAGCCAGCCTACCAATACAAGCCCGAGACTACTTTGTTTTGCTTGTCATGCGCAGAATATGTAAGCGTGTTGATGTAAGCCGCGAGGCTAGCAGACGAGGAAGCGTCTATGCCGGTGACATGATGGTAGACACCAATCTAATCACATGTCAAAGGCCATGGCTCGTAAGTATGCACGGTCGAAGGTGCTACGGACCTGTTTTGTCGCAGACTTGATGGGCTGTTTTATCAGGTGGACCAGGTCTGGCGGGCCCAGTTCTCGGAGCGTCTGTAGAGATTCCGAGCGCGCTTCGATGGCCGAGTGTAGCTCGTCTTCGTAGATCCTGGGGGATTGTCAGACAAGCCACATAGACAGAGGTTCTCTGCGACAGAAAAAGTCATATGCAAATGGGAGTGGCGCATGCAGAGACAGAAGCAGAGGTAGCAATGTGTCGGGACAACTAGTAATCGAAGCGGCATGGGTGGCATACTCAGGAACAGCTGGCGATGTCACCATGGCTCAATTGGCGCCGCACAGAGCGAGGTGGCAGGGGAGCGGTGATGGGAGGAGAATGGCGGGGTGGATGCCAGGCGAGGGGCTTTGTTGGTATGCGCTTGGGGCTCACGGGCGTTGCGTGTCAAGAATTCCGTGTCCTTGGTCGGCATCAAGGCAGGCACGGAAGCTGCATCGCGGAGGTGCCCCGTTGCCAAGACTCCCCATCCCTGCCACCCATCATTCACAGTCGCGTCGCGTCACGTCACCCAGACGCTGCGAGACTGCACATAGTCGAAGTTGGCCTCTGTCACACTGCCCATAAATTATATACTCAGCAGTGGTACTCTCCATGGTTGCCTGCTGCTTGTTGTCCCCATTGCAGATGCCGTACAGAGTTTCTGTGTCGCCCTGAGGCTCTCCCCGTCATTGTCTAACCAACCACAGCACACATCATGGTAAGTCGAATACCTGCATACTCAGGCCCCTGCAGCCACAGCGCCCATTATGCTCCTTCATCCCCTCTGACATGGCGCAGTCGAAAGCCTCAGTATGGCATCCTTACAATGTCGAAATCCCCGAGGAAACCGCCGAAGAGGAAGTCGACGACACCCAGGAGATCCAGATCGAAGAAGCCTTGAAACTCTACCAGACTGCCTTGAAGCTCCATTCGGAAGGCCCTGCATCCTTTGAAAAGACTGCTGCAGCATATAAGGCTCTATTCGACTCTGATATCTTCAAATACGCCGAATCGCTCTCGGAATTCCAACGACACGAAGTCTTTGGCGAAGACCTTGTCTTCGACACCATCTTGGAGGATGACTATGACGCAGGTCCCGTTCAGTCTACCGGCGCCGCCGACAGCGCTCCGAATACTCTCCAGCAGATCCTGCATTTATCGTACAAGAACCATGGCCAATTCTTGCTGGAGTCTATGCAGCATTGGATTACAACGAACGGCCCAACACCTCAGGTGGAAGCTTGGAGCAAAATCCGCGACGCCCTCAACTACTTTGCTGAAGCGCTGGACAAGGAGG